GGGGTGATGAGAATGTGGAGCCTCAGCTGAAAGGGTGGGGTAAAATGTGATAGCAAGTTAAAGGTGGAAGAAGGCACTGCTGCCTTGCAGACCAGGTTTAGCGATGAACTGAGCAGGACTGAATGGCTTTGTGATGAAGAAGGACAGCTGCCTTTCATAGAAGGCCAGTGTCTCACTGAGCTCTCTAAAGTGCTTCCCTCTCTCTACCAGCATCACTGTTTGCACCAGCTGCTGTTCCCTGAGGGGAGATTATTGTTGGCAGCCATTGGGACATCTTAGAAAGGGTATCCATTGTGTCTGTAGAGAATGAGATATGCAGCTGGGTGCCATCAGCAAATTGTTGGCAGCAGAACCTGTGGAGTGTCCCTCTCTCTGCAAGAGGCCTCATGTAGTTACAGAAGAAGATGGGGATAGGCTAGATATTTATAGGATTCTGGATCAAGGGCTGCTGGAGAAAAGGAGTAGGTTCTCAGGACTAAACTCTAGTCTTGGTGGAGAACAATTGGAGCCAGTGTAGCGCTGGACTGTCTACTCCAGTCATGTCATATAAGCAGGTCACCTGATCTTTGGGGCAGCATCAAAAGCTCCAGAGAAGGCAAGTAATAGGAGCAATGGCGCTTGACCTCTATCTGTTCTGCTGTTTGCTGTGGTATTTCCTGGTCTAATGTCTCATTGCAAAAGGTCCAAGGTGCTGGTAGATCTCTCTCACTGGAGCTGAGATGTGAACTGAGGATTTCTGCTATCCCTTCTGGGTTATCAGTCTCTGTCCTTACTTTATCCCTCCTCCTTTCCTCTCCAGTAGAAATCTGACTGAGCCAGCCAGGACAAATCTAACCTTGCAACAATTTGCCATGACCAGTTTGGGAAGGTAAATGATGTCAAACCAGTCCTGGTCTCAGTAAGTAACATTGCTTCCCACTAACTGGCCAGAGGAAATGGGAGCAACTCAGCCAAACACTTTCCCATAGACAGAGGAGTAAAGCAAGAGTCTAGAAATGGTTAGTGAGGTCATGTATCCTCTGCTAGGCCTGCGATCTCCCAGCAACTGGATTCCAAGGAGCAGACACAAGCTGCATTTCCCTCTACTTTACTATTTTTCCTGTCACCTCCATTTTGTCCATTTGTCTTCCCTTAAAGAAACAGGATCAGTCTTTCACAGCAGCAGCCGGAGAGCTACCACTTTATGGAATATAGATCTTGTCAAACTAACTTTATTTTTTCAAATCAGATTACAAGTTTGGTTGATAAAGTTAATAGGATTGTGGTAATAGACTTCTGTAAGGTGCTTGACTTGGTGCAACATGACATTTTTATTAAGAAACTAGAATGATACAAAATCAACACGACACACATTAAATGGAATAAAATTAGGCTAACTGACAGCTTTTAAAAACGTAATTGTAAATGAGGAGTCATCATTAAGTGGATGCGTTTCTAGAGTTGTACCAGAAGGATCACTTCTTGGCCTTACGCTATTTAACATTTTTATCAGTGATCTGAAAGAAAACATTAAATCACTTATAAAACTTGCAGAAGATAGAAAGATTGCAAGAGTGGTAAATAATGAATAAGACAGGTCACTGATACAGAGCGATCTGGATCACTTGGTAAACTGGGCACAAGCAACCAATACGTGTTTTAATATGGCTAAATGAAAAGATACGTATCTAGGAACAAAGAATGCAGACCATACTTACAGGTTGGGGTATCTCTATCTTGGAAAGAAGTGACCGAAAAAGACATGGGGCTCATGGTGGATTATCAACTGAACATGAGCTCCTAGTGCAACACTATGAACAAAAGGGCTATGATCCTTGGGTGCATAAACGGGAACAATAAGCAGGAATAGAGAGGCTATTTTACCTCTGTATTTGGCTTGGTTAGACCACTGCTGGAATATGGTGTCCAACTCTGGTGTTCACAATTCAAGAAGGATGTTGATAAATTGAAGAGGGTTCAGGGAAGAGCCACGACAATTATTAAAAGATTAGAAATCCCGCCTTATAGTGATAGACTCAAGGAACTCAATCTATTTAGCTTAACAAAGAGAAGGTTAAGGGGTGATTTGATCACAGTTTATAAGTACGTGGGAACAAAAATTTGATAAGGGGATCTACAATCTAGCAAAGAAAGGTATAACACCATCCAATGGCTGGAAGCTGAAGCTAAATAAATTCAGACTAGAAATAAGGTGTAAATAACAGTGAGAATTACTAACAGTTGGAACCGCTCACCAAGGGTTGACATTGATTCTCTATCACTGACAATATTTAAATCAAGACAGAATATTTTTCTAAAAAAATCTGCTCTCCTTCAAAGAAGAGCTAATTCAGTGAAGTCCCAAGGCCTGTGTTAAACAGGAGCTCAGACTAAGTGATCATAGTGGAGCCCTTCTGCCCTTATATGTTATTAAGTGAGTCTGCTTTGATCCCAACAAGGACATTTGATGCCATTTAAGAGCCTTTCAAGCAACCCTTTAAAGCCGCAATACAAACAGAAAGAGGATGGGAAGAAGAGGAATTGTTAAAATCAGTCTAGCTGGGTTTTTAGACAACCCCATTACTGTAGTATCTGAGGAGTGCCTCCCAAACATACAGAGTGAGCATTCAAGGATACATTTCTCCCTTCCCTCCAGTGAGCAGGGACTGGACTTGACTGTAGCTATTTGAAGGTGGGTGATTTCATACCTAGCTACAAGAGATTTACAGTATTGTGGCCTAGAGGTGATTGCCTGGATCACAGGGGCTAAATCCCATTCTGACAGGAGATGTCATGGCCTTGTCAGTGGTGCCTGGAAAAGGGTTTCTCTATATGGGTACACAGAATCAGGGAGGATCCTGGAAGAACACTGAGAATGCAGACTGTCAAACTGACATGCAGGAGGATGTTTAAGAAGTGATGAGTTCTTCCAATTATTTTCTCCTATCTCCACCAGCATCACATTAGTCTTTCCCAGACTTTCCTCTAGCGAGCTGCTCTTCCAGATGCTGTTCCCAGCCAGGCCCTGGGAAAGCTGGAAGCTGGCACTGATTGTGTCTAATATGAAGAGGATACAGAGCTGGGTGTCATCCACTTATTGCTGTCATTTTAATCCAGGCTGTTTCACAATCCTCCCAAAAGACTCACACACCGGTAGCCGTGGAGAGGATGGATCCATACATGAGGGCTTGTGAGGGACACAGCAGATGTCATACAACTGAGTGCAGCCTGAGAAGAATGACTGAGGTCACCTCGGTGCAACCCCACTCTCCCCACCATGTTTCTGAGGCAGATCAGCATTTACGTCTAAACATGGCTCACATCTCTGCACAGATCAGCCAAATCCAGAAGTGGCCACTTACTTTTTCTTTTATGTTTCCTTCTTAACCAAGAAGCCCTTTGCTGTCTGGGCTCTTTGTCATTTTAGATCCCTTCTTTTAAGCCAAAAATCTTTGTTACACAAAACAAAAAAGGAAAGTTATTTACCTTATATCAACTGGAGTTCTTCAAAATGTGTGGTCCTATGATAGTCACTGTGAGTGTGCATGAGCTCCATGCACCCAGGATTGGAAATTCTTCAGTAGCAGTGACCACTAGTCCACTCCTCTGCCCTTCTCCTCCTCATGCTCCCCTCTGAGGGCATAAGAGGCACTGAGGACTGACCATCAGTCTATTGCAAATCAAGAGAGAATCTGAGCAGAGGGGAAGGAAGGCTGGTCATGAATACCCATAGGGCATTCAACTTGAAGAACTCCAGTTACTATAAGGTAGGTAAGAAAAGCTTACTCACCTTCTGTAGTAACTGGTTCTTCAAGATGTGTCCCCTGTGGGTGCTCCACTTCAAGTGAAGGTACACGTCATGCACCTTCCATTGGTAATTTTCATTAGCAGTGTCCATTTGGCCTGTGCACAAGCTTCTTGCACCCCACACTGAGGCTAGGAGCTGACGAAGAGATATTTGAACCATTAACAATTATCTTCAAAAACTCATGAAAGACAGGAGAGATTACAGAGGCCTGGAAGAGGACAAATATAGTGCCAGTCAATAAAAAGGCGAATAAGGGCAATCTGAGGAATTACAGACCAGTCAGCTTAACTTCAGTACCTGGAAAGATAATGGAGTAAATAATCAAGCAATTACTTTGCAAAGATAATAAGATGATAAGTAACATGGATTTGTCAAGAAAAACTACTGTCAAACCAACCTAATATCTTTCTTTGACAGGATAACAAGCCTTGTGGATAGGAGAAAGTGGTAAATATGGTATATCTTGACTGTAATCAGGCTTTTAATACTGTCTTGCACAATCTTCTCATAAACAAACTAGGGAAATACAACCTAGATGGAGCTACTATAAGGTGGGTGCATAACTGGTGGAAAACTATTCCCAGAGAGTGGTTATCGGTGGTTCACAGTAAAGCTGGAAAGACATATCAAGTGGAGTCTCGCAGGGATGGGTCCTGGGTCTCATTCTGTTCAATATCTTCATAAATGGTTTAGATAATGGCATAGAGAGTACACTTCTAAAGTTTGCGGACAAAGCCAAGCTGGGAGGGGTTGCAAGTGCTTTGGAGGGTAGGATTAAAATTCAAAATGATCTGGACAGCTTGGAGTAATGGTCTGATGTAAATAGGATGAAATTAAATAAGGACAAATGCAAAATAATTCACTTAGCCCTGGTCTACACTAGGAGTTTAGGTCAAATTTAGCAGCGTTAAATCGATGTAAACCTGCACCCATCCACACGATGAAGCCCTTTTTTTTCGACTTAAAGGGCTCTTAAAATCGATTTCCTTAATCCACCTCTGACAAGTAGATTAGCCCTTAAATCGGCCTTGCTGGGTCGAATTTGGGGTACTGTGGACGCAATTAGACGGTATTGGCCTCCGGGAGCTAGCCCAGAGTGCTCTATTGTGATCGCTCTGGACAGCACTCTCAACTCAGATGCACTGGCCAGGTAGACATGAAAAAGCCCACAAACTTTTGAATTTAAATTTCCTGTTTGCATGGTAACCTGCAGCTTGCCACGCTGGCCAGAGCTCATCAGCAGAGGTGACCATGCAGAGCTCATCAGCAGAGGTGACCATGATGGAGTCCCAGAATCGCAAAAGAGCTCCAGCATGGACCGAACGGGAGGTACGGGATCTGATCGCTGTATGGGGAGAGGAATCCATGCTATCAAAACTCCATTCCAGTTTTCGAAATGCCAAAACATTTGTCAAAATCTCCCAGGGCATGAAGGACAGAGGCCATAACAGGGACCCGAAGCAATGCCGCGTGAAACTTGAGGCAAGCCTACCAGAAAACCAGAGAGGCAAACGGCCGCTCCTGGTCAGAGCCCCAAACATGCCGCTTCTGTGATGAGCTGCATGCCACTTTAGGGAGTTCAGCCACCACTACCCCAGCCGTGTTGTTTGACTCCTTCAATGTAGATGGAGGCAACACAGAAGCAGGTTTTGGGGATGAGGAAGATGATGATGATGAAGTTGTAGATAGCTCACAGCAAGCAAGCGGAGAAACCAGTTTTCCCGACAGCCAGGAACTGTTTCTCACCCTGGACCTGGAGGCAGTCCCCCCCGAACCCACCCAAGGCTGCCTCCCAGACCCGCCAGGTGGAGAAGGGACCTCTGGTGAGTGTACCTTTTAAAATACTATACATGGTTTAAAAGCAAGCATGTTTAATGATTAATTTGCCCTGGCATTTGCGGCTCTCCTGGATGTACTCCCAAAATCTTTGCAAAAGGTTTCTGGGGAGGGCAGCCTTATTCCACCCACCATGGTAGGACACTTTACCACACCAGGCCAGTAGCACGTACTCGGGAATCATTGTAGAACAAAGCATTGCAGTGTATGTTTGCTGGCATTCAAACAACATCCGTTCTTTATCTCTCTGTGTTATCCTCAGGAGAGTGATATCATTCATGGTCACCTGGTTGAAATAGGGTGCTTTTCTTAAGGGGAAATTCAGAGGTGCCTGTTCCTGCTGGGCTGTTTGCCTGTGGCTGAACAGAAATGTTCCCTGCTGTTAGCCATGGGGGGGGGGTGAGGGGCTAGCCACGTGGTGGGGGGAGGCAAAATGTGACTTTGAAACGAAAGCACATGTGCTGTGTATGTAATGTTAACAGCAAGGTTTACTGTGAAAGAGTGTAGCCATTGTTCTAGAAAATGTGTCTTTTTAAATACCACTGCCTCTTTTTTTCTCCACCAGCTGCATGTGTTTCAATGATCACAGGATCTTCTCCTTCCCAGAGGCTAGTGAAGATTAGAAGGCGAAAAAAACGCACTCGTGATGAAATGTTCTCTGAGCTCATGCTGTCCTCCCACACTGACATAGCGCAGACGAATATGTGGAGGCAGACAATGTCAGAGTGCAGGAAAGCACAATATGACCAGGAGGAGAGGTGGCGGGCTGAAGAGAGTAAGTGGTGGGCTGAAGCTGAAAGGTGGTGGCAGCATGATGAGAGGAGGCAGGATTCAATACTGAGGCTGCTGGAGGATCAAACCAATATGCTCCAGCATATGGTTGAGCTGCAGGAAAGGCAGCAGGAGCATAGACCCCCGCTACAGCCCCTGGGTAACCAACCACCCTCCTCCCCAAGTTCCATAGCCTCCTCACCCAGACGCCCAAGAACGCGGGGGGGGGGGCCCTCCGGCCACCCGGCCACTCCACCCCAGAGGATTGCCTAAGCAACAGAAGGCTGGCATTCAATAAGTTTTAAACTTTTAAAGTGCTGTGTGGCCTTGTCCTTCCCTCCTCCACCACCCCTCCTGGTGCTTCTCTCCTCCACCACCGCTCCTGGGCTACCTTGGTAGTTATCCCCCTATTTGTGTGATGAATGAATAAAGAATGCATGAATGTGAAGCAACAATGACTTTATTGCCTCTGCAAGCAGTGATTGAAGGGAGGAGGGGAGGGTGGTTAGCTTACAGGGAGGTAGAGTGAACCAAGGGGCGGGGGGTTTCATCAAGGAGAAACAAACAGAACTTTCACACCATAGCCTGTCCAGTCATGAAACTGGTTTTCAAAGCTTCTCTTATGTGCACCGCACCCTCCTGTGCTCTTCTAACTGCCCCGGTGTCTGGCTGTGCGAAACCAGCAGCCAGGCGATTTGCCTCAACCTCCCACCCTGCCATAAACATCTCCCCCTTACTCTCACAGATATTGTGGAGCGCACAGCAAGCAGTAATAACAGTGGGAATATTGGTTTCGCTGAGGTCTAACTGAGTTAGTAAACTGCACCACCGTGCTTTTAAACGTCCAAATGCACATTCTACCACCATTCTGCACTTGCTCACTCTGTAGTTGAACAGCTCCTGACTACTGTCCAGGCTGCCTGTGTATGGCTTCATGAGCCATGGCATTAAGGGGTAGGCTGGGTCCCCAAGGATAACTATAGGCATTTCAACATCCCCAACGGTTATTTTCTGGTCTGGGAATAAAGTCCCTTCTTTCAGCTTTTGAAACAGACCAGAGTTCCTGAAGATGCGAGCGTCACGTACCTTTCCCGGCCATCCCACGTTGATGTTGGTGAAATGTCCCTTGTGATCCACCGGTGCTTGCAGCACTATTGAAAAGTACCCCTTGTGGTTTATGTACTTGCCGGCTTGGTGCTCCGGTTCCAAGATAGAGATATGGGTTCCGTCTATGGCCCCACCACAGTTAGGGAATCCCATTGCAGCAAAGCCATCCACTATGACCTGCATATTTCCCAGGGTCACTACCCTTGATATCAGCGTTGGCTTTGATCTTTGATTGCGTTGGCTACTTGCATCACAGCAGCCCCCACAGTAGATTTGCCTACTCCCAATTGATTCCTGACTGACCAGTAGCTGTCTGGCGTTGCAAGTTTCCACAGGGCTATTGCCACTCGCTTCTCAACTGTGAGGGCTGCTCTCATCTTGGTATTCTTGCACTTCAGGGCAGTGGAAAGCAAGTCACAAAGTTCCATGAAAGTGCCCTTACACATGCGAAAATTTCGCAACCACTGGGAATCGTCCCAGACCTGCAACACTATGTGGTCCCACCAGTCTGTGCTTGTTTCCTGAGTCCAGAATTGGCGTTCCACCACATGAACCTGCCCCATTAGCACCATGATACCCACATTGCCAGGGCCCATGCTTTGAGAGAAGTCTGTGTCCATGTCCTCATCACTCACGTCACCGCACTGACGTCACCTACTCACCCGGTATCGCTTTGCCAGGTTCTGGTGCTGCATATACTGCTGGATAATGCGCATGGTGTTTAATGTGCTCCTAATTGCCAAAGTGATCTGAGCGGGCTCCATGCTTGCCGTGATATGGCGTCTGCACAGAAAAAAGGCGCGGAACGATTGTCTGCCGTTGCCCTGACGGAGGGAGGGGCAACTGACGACATGGCTTACAGGGAATTAAAATCAACAAAGGGGGTGGCTTTGCGAGAAACTGAATGGCCCCCTCAAGGATAGAACTCAAAACTGGGTTTAGCAGGCCGTTGATTTCACAGAAGGAAGGAGGAGAAAATGAATATAAAACAAATCTAATCTATTTCTTGTTTTGAGCCACTTCATCTATCTTTATACCTCTTACTGGCAGCAGACTGTGCAGTACGACCACTAGCTGTCATCATATCCTGGGTGCTCGGCAGAAGACAGTGCAGTATGACGACTAGCCATCATCTTCTGCTGGCTGGAGGTTAAAAGACAGCACACTGCCAGTAGGACTGAATCGCCATGAGACGAAACAAGGGAAATGACCTGGCTGAGTCACTCCCATGTTTGCCCAGGCGCCTTATTAAAAGAGCACCCAGGACTATGTCGATGACGACTACCAGTCATACTGCACTGTCTGCTGCCAAAAGGCAATTAACTGCTGCTGTGTAGCAATGCAGTACCACGTCTGCCAGCACCCAGGAGACATATAGTGACGGTTAGCTGAGTGTGCTCCATGCTTGCCGTGGTATGGCGTCTGCACAGGTAACTCAAGAAAAAAGGCGCAAAATGATTGTCTGCCCTTGCTTTCACGGAGGGAGGGAGGGAATGGGGGCCTGATGCTATGTACCCAGAACCACCCACGACAATGTTTTAGCCCCATCAGGCACTGAGATTTCTACCCAGAATTCAAATGGGCGGCAGAGACTGTGGGAACTGTGGGATAGCCACCCACAGTGCAATACTCCGGAAGTCGACGGTTGCCTCGGTACTGTGGATACACTTCGCCTACTACATGCACTTAGAGCACTTGTGTGAGGACACACACAATCAACTGTATAAAACCGCTTTCTACAAAACCGACTTCTATAAATTCGACCTAATTTTGTAGTGTAGACATACCCTCAGGAAGGAAAAATCAGCTGCACACATACAAAATGGGAAATGACTGCCTAGGAAGGAGTACTGCAGAAAGGGATCTGGGGATTATAGTGGATCAAAAGCTAAATATAAGTCAGCAGTGTTACACTTGCAAAAAAAAAAAAAAGTGAACATCATCATGGGTTATACTAGCAGGAGTGTTGTAAGCAAGACACAAGAAGTAATTCTTCCACTCTATTCCGTGCTGATAAGGCTTCAGCTGGAATATTGTGGCCAGTTCTGGGAACCAAATTTCAGAAAGATATGGACAAATTAGAGAAAGCCCAGAAAAGAGCAACAAGAATGATTAAAGGTCTAGAAAACATGACCTATGAGGAAATATTGGAAAAACTGGGTTAGTTCAGTCTGGAGAAGAGAAGACTGAAGGGGGACATGATAATAATTTTCAAATACATAAAACGTTGTTACAAAGAGGAGGGAGAAAAATTGTTCTTGTTAACCTCTGAGGATAGGACAAGAAGCAAGGGACTTAAATTGCAGCATGGGAGGTTTAGGTTGGACATTAGGAAAAGCTTCCTGTCAGGATAGTTAAGCCCTGGAACAAATTGCCAAGGGAGGTTGTGGAATCTCTGTCATTCGAAGTTTTTAAGAACAGATTAGACAAACACCTGTCAGGAATGATCTAATTATTACGTAGTCCTGCCTTGAGTTCAGGGGACTGGATTAGATGACCTACTGAAGTCTCTTCCAGTCCTACACGTCTATGATTCTGTATAAGGCTGCATGGGTGAATCTCCCTCAATTCCTTCTCTATGGCAAAGTCCTGCAAAGGAAACCCCAAAGCAGAGGGGAAGGTGGGTTGGTTGTGGAGCACCCATAGAGGGACACATCTCAAAAAAAGTTACTGCACAGGGGAGTAACCATTGCTTGTTTTTGAGTAGTGTCCATCTGGGTGCTTCACTCAAGGTGACTCCTAAGCAGTATTCCCACAGGAAAAAGGGAGCTTTCATATTGCGTACAGAACTGAAGATAGAACTCCATTGCCAACAGCCACACCAGATCTGGAGGCATGAACCAAGGCATAGTGTTTGGAGAAGGTATGTATTAAAGACCACATAGTGGCTCTGCAGATCTCAGATATTGGATCATCTTTAAGTAATTCCATAGATGTTTATTGGGATCTTGTAGAGCGTGCCAACACCCTGGAAGGAGGTTGAATGCTATCCACTTCGTAATATACAATAACTACCCAGAGATTCACCTTGATAGCTTCTGGGTGGAGATTGTGGATCCTTTAGATCAGTCTGCAGTGGAAACAAACAGACTAGGAGACCTCCGAAGTGCTTTGGTCCTATCTAGGTAGAAGGCCAGTGCTCTTCTCACATCTAAAATATGGAAGGATGCCTCCTGTTGAGAATTATAGTTTCAGGAGAAAAGAAACAGCAAATGAATGGACTGATCAAGAGGAAACTCAAATGACACTTTAGTTAGGAATATAGGATGTGGATGTAAGGAAAGTTTGTCCTTGCAGATTACCATGAAACGAGGGTCTGCCATTAAGGCCTCAGTTTCTCCAACTCTTCAGGTTGATGATGATGGATACCAAAAAGACCATCTGCATAGACAGATTCAGTAAGGAGCAGGTTGCCATAGTTTCAAAGGGAGGTCCAAGAACTAGACTGAGATCCCAAATTGGAGTGGGGTCTTTCACTTGAGGGAAAAATTACCCCAAACCTTTGATGAGCCTTGGAGATTTTGGGTGAGCAACACTGAGAAACTTTCCAGGGGGAATGAAAGGCTATTATGGCAGTCAAGCGAACACTGACCCAGCTGCTTGATAATGTTTTCTTTAGTTCCAGTAGGTAATCCAGGATAACAGAGAGTGAGGAAGATTCAGGTGCAAGTTATTTGAATTCACACCAATGGCTAAATCTTTTCCACTTTTGAAGGTAAGAATTTCAGGTAGATTCTTTCCTACTCTTTAGTAACACCCATTGTACCTCTGCAGAACAGTCAGACTCTAGCCCCACAAATGAGGGAGAAGCCATGCCCTGAGGCAGAGACATCCTAGGTTGGGATGAAACAATTGACTAGTGTCTTGGGAGAGGAGATGAGGGCTGATCAGAAGCTTGATTGCTGGACAGAGGAACAGGTAAGGATATCATGCTTGCCGTGGACCCATTGGGACTATTAGAATAACCCTGGCTTTGTCCTGTCTGATTTTGTTAATCAACCTCAGTATTAGAGGCATTGGGGGAACATGGAGAACAATCCCTTCATCCAAGGCAGGAGGAAGGCATCCCCCAGAGAATGGTGGCCTAGACCTTCTCTTGAACAGAGCAGATGACACTTCCTGTTTGTGGCAGCGGCAAAGAGGTTCCACTTCTGGAAATGCCCAACTTTGAAATATACCATGGAGGGTCTTCTTCATAGTCCTGTGAGATGCGCCTGCTGAGAGCATGGTGTTTTTTGAATGCCAGGGAGGTAGCTTACCAAAATGTGTACATTGTGGATTATGCACCAGTTCCACAACTTTATTGCTTCGGTGCACAGAGAAGGGGATCTCATTCCTCCCTGCTGCCATATTGTCTGACTGAGCTGTCCCTGATGAGAGGCAGAAAATGAAGGCAGGCATTTCTGGCCCCTGAGTTCCAACAGGTTGATGTGGAGACTGGTTTCTTGAGGTGACCATCTGCTCTGGATTGTCTGAGTATTCAGATGAGCTCCCCATCTTAATGGAGATGCATCCATTGTTACAGTGACCATTGGGATCGGTTGGAGAAAAGGAATGCCTGCACCGGTGTTGTGATGATCTTCCCACCAGTCTTGGGAATCTTTCACCTGGCAGGGTACTGAAGCCTGTTTGTCTAAACTGTGTCTGTTTGGTGAGTACTGCTCTGAGCCACTCCTAGAAGCAAAGGCGTAACCTTGCATGATCTCTTACAAAAGTGAAAGCTTCCATGTGACCAAGGAGTTGGAGGCAGTTTCTCACCCCCATCAAGGAGGTTTTGGGGGCTCCCTTGAATAGTCCTGACTAGATTTGATAAAGTTATGAATCTGTCCATGGGGAGGTAGGCCCTGGCTGCCAACAAATCGAAGGATGCCCCTATGAACTGTATTTTGGAACAAAGGTCAACATAGATTTTTTTTTTTACATTGAGTTGAAGACCTAGTTTCAGGAACAGAGAAAGGGCCCTCTGCATGGCTGACAGCACTCTTTCATGAGACCGATCCTTGAAAAGCCAATTGTTGAGGTACAGCAATCATACAATTATAGAATTGGAAAGAACCTCAAGAGGTCATCTAGTTCAGTCCCCTGCACTCGTGGCAAGACTAAGTATTATCTAGACCATCCCTGACAGGTGTTTGTCCAACCTGCCCTAAAAAATCTCCAATGATGGAGATTCCACAACCTCCCTAGGCAGTTTATTCCAGTGCTTAACCACTCTGACAGAAAGTTTTTCCTAATGTCTAACCTAAACCACGCTTGCTGCAATTTAAACCGATTGTTTCTTGTCCTATCCTCAGAGGTTAAGAAGAACAATTTTTCTCCCTCCTCCTTGTAACAACCTTTTATGTACTTGAAAACTGTTAACATGTCCGCTCTCAGTCTTTTCTTCTTCAGACTTAACAAACCCAATTTTTTCAATCTTCCTTCACAGGTCATGTGAAGACCTTTAACCATTTTTGTTGCTCTTCTCTGGACTTTCTCCAATTTGTTCACATCTTTCCTGTAATGTGGCACCCAGAACTGGACACAATACTCCAGTTGAGGCCTAATCAGCGTGGAATAAGAGTGGAAGAATTACTTTCGGGTCTTGTTTACAATACTCCTGTGAATACATCCCAGAATTATGTTTGCTTTTTTTGCAACAGCGTTACACTGTTGACTCATATTTAGCTTGTGATCCACTATGACCCCCAGATCCCTTTCCATTTCCTTCCTTGGCAGTCATTTCCCATTTTGTATGTGTGCAGCTGATTGCTCTTTCCTAAGTGGAGTACTTTGCAATTTGTCCTTAAGGAATTTCATCTTATTTACTTCAGACCATTTCTGCAGTTTGTCCAGATCATTTTGAATTTTAATTCTACCCTCCAAAGCTCTTGCAACCCCTCCTAGCTTGCCTTCGTCCACAAACTTTATAAGTGTACTCTCTATGCCATTATCTAAATAGTTGATGAAGATATTGAACAGAACCAATCCCTGTGGGACCCCACTCATTATGCCCTTCCAGTATGACTGTGAACCACTGATAACTACTCTCTGGGAACGATTTTCTAACCAGTTATGCACCCACTTTATGGTAGCTCCATCTAGGTTGTATTTCCCTAGTTTGTTTATGAGAAGGTCATGCGAGACAGTATACTTACTAAGTCAAGATATACCACATCTACTGCTTCCCCCCTATCCACAAGGCTTGTTACCCTGTCAAAGAAAGCTATTAGGTTGGTTTGACATGATTTGCTCTTGACAAATCCATGCTGTTACTTATCACTTCATTATCTTCTAGGTGTTTGCAAACTGATTTATTAATTATTTGCTCCATTATCTTTCCAGGTACAGAAGTTAAGCTGACTGGTCTGTAATTCCCCAGGTTGTCCTTATTTCCCTTTTTATAGATGAGCACTATATTTGCCCTTTTCCAGTCTTCTGGAATGTCTCCTGTCTTCCATGACTTTTCAAAGATAATTGCTAATGGCTCAGATATCTCCTCAGTCAGCTCCTTGAGTATTCTAGGATGCATTTCATCAGGCCCTGGTGATTTGAAGACATCTAACTTGTCTAAGTAATTTTTGATTTGTTCTTTCCCTATTTTAGACTCTGATCCTACCTCATTTTCCCTGGCATTCACTATGTTAGATGTCCAATTGCCACCAACCTTCTTGGTGAAAACCGAAACAAAGAAGTCATGAAGCACCTCTGCCATTTCCACATTTACTGTTATTGTCTTTCCTCCCTCATTGAGTAATGGGCCTACTCTGTCCTTGGTCTTCCTCTTGCTTCTAATGTATTTTTAGAATGTTTTTTTTTGTTACCTTTTATGTCCCTAGCTAGTTTGATCTCTTTTTGTGCCTTGGCTTTTCTAATTTTGTCCCTATATATTTGTGTTATTCGTTTATATTCATCCGTTGTAATTTGATCGAGTTTCCACTTTTTGTAGGACTCTTCTTTGAGTTTTAGATCATTGAAGATCTCCTGGTTTAGCCAATGTGGTCTCTTGCCAACTTCCTATCTTTCCTATGCAGTGGGATAGTTTGCTCTTGTGCCCTTAATAATGTCTCTTTGAAAAACTGCCAACTGTCTTCAATTGTTTTTCCCCTTAGACTTGCTTCCCATGAGATTTTACCTACCAACGCTCTGAGTTCGCTAAAGTCTGCCTTCGTGAGCTACAGCATCCGATGAAGTGAGCTGTAGTTTATGCTCAAATAAATTTGTTAGTCTCTAAGGTGCCACAAGTACTCCTTTTCTGTCTGGATACAGGCGCAGGTGGAGGAGACAAGAGTAGCGTTTGAACTGGTGATTCGGCCGTTCCTAACCATAGCAACGTTATTTTGTCTCCCTCCCACAAAAAAACTCCCTCTTTCAAGCTCCCTTGGTCGCTTAGCCTCTGGCTTTTAAGGTCTTCCCTCCTAGGTCAGCCCTACCCCCTTGTTAATCACACAGGGGGAGGGTGATCACAAGGCTGACTGAGGCTGATCAAGGGAACAAAGGCTCAAACTGTCCCCAAACATACAATCCCAACTGACCCTGTAACTGAAATAACCTGAAAGACAAACACAAACAGCCAAACAAACTCACTCACTCCAAGGTTAGTACTCGCGCACCTTGTTTGTTCAGCAGGGGGAATCTCCTTCACCCGCTCTCAAACTCAGGTTTGTGGTCCCCTGTTCACTAGCTAGCAATACTAAAATCACCTCTCAATGACAGTAAGTGGCCATCACCACTAGATCCTTTGAAAACATTCTCAGAGCTGAGGAGAGTCCGAAGGGGATTACCCGATATTGAAAATGATTCTGGCTAAAAACAAAATGGAGGTTTTCTGTGAGGTGGGTGTATCGCTATATGGAAATATGCATCTTGTGAGTTGAGGGCTGAAAACCAATCCCCAGAATTTAGTTGAAGGAATTATAGCTGCCAGAGCCACCATCAAAAAGAAAAGGAGTACTTGTGGCACCTTAGAGACTAACAAATGCATTTGAGCATAAGCTTTCGTGAGCAAGCTACTTATTGGATGATTCAGTGGAAAATACAGTGGGAGATTTTTATACACAGAGAACATGAACAATGGGTGACCATACACTGTCGAGAGTGATCAGGTAAGGTGAGCTATTACAGAGGAGAGTGGGGGAATTTGTAGTGTAATCAAGGTGGGCATTTCCAGCAGTTGACAAATTTGAGAACATTTGGGAGGAAAAAAAAATAGGGAAAAAATTTTTTTTTTTTTCTTCCTTTTTTTATTTTTAATTTATTTTATTTTTAATAAATTTATTTTTTTTTGTGTGTTTTTTTTTTTTTTTTTTTTTTAAATTTTTTTTTTTTGTATAAAGAAAAAAGATTTGATTTTTAATTTTTTAAATTTTATTTTTTTTTTTTTTTTTTTGTGGGAGAGGGGCATTGCTGGTACATGATGGCATATATCACATTGGTAGATGTGCAGGTGAACAAGCCTCTGACAGTGTGGCTGATGTGATTAGGCCCTATGATGGTGTCCCCTGAATAGATATGTGGACACAGTTGGCAACGGGCTTTGTTGCAAGGATAGGTTCCTGGGTTAGTGGTTCTGTTGTGTGGTGTGTGGTTGCTGGAGAGTATTTGCTTCAGGTTGGGGGGCTGTCTGTAAGCAAGGACTGGCCTGTCTCCCCAGATCTGTGAGAGTGATAGGTTGTCCTTCAGGATAGGTTGTAGATCTTTGATGATGCGTTGGAGAGGTTTTAGTTGGGGGCTGAAGGTGATGGCTAGTGGCATTGTGTTATTTCCTTTGTTGGGCCTGTCCTGTAGTAGGTAACTTCTGGGTACTCTTCTGGTTCTGTCAATCTGTTTCTTTACTTCAGCAGCTGGGTACTGTAGTTGTAAGAATGCTTGATAGAGATCTTGTAGGTGTTTGTCTCTGTCTGAGGGGTTGGAGCAAATGCGGTTGTATTGTAGAGCTTGGCTGTAGACAATGGATCGTGTGGTGTGGTCTGGGTGAAAGCTGGAGGCATGTAGGTAGGCATAGTGGTCAGGAGGTTTCCAGTATAGGGTGGTGTTTATGTGACCATCGCTTATTAGCACCGTAGTGTTCAGGAAGTGGATCTCTTGTGTGGACTGGTCCAGGCTGAGGTTGACGGTGGGATGGAAATTGTTGAAGTCATGGTGGAATTCCTCAAGGGCTTCTTTTCCATGGGTCCAGATGATGAAGATGTCATCAGTGTAGCGCAGGTAGAGTAGGGGCGTTAGGGGACGAGAGCTGAGGAAGCGTTGTTCTAAGTCAGCCATAAAAATGTTGACATACTGTGGGGCCATGCCGGTACCCATAGCAGTGCCGATGATTTGAAGGTATACATTGTCCCCAAATGTGAAATAGTTATGAGTGAGGACAAAGTCACAAAGTTTAGCCACCAGGTTTGCTGTGGCATTATTGGGGATACTGTTCCTGATGGCTTGTAGTCCATCTTTGTGTGGAATGTTGGTGTAGAGGGCTTCTACATGCATAGTGGGCTGGGATGGTGTTTTCAGGAATATCACTGATGGATTGTAGTTTCCTCGTGACCTTCTGAGACTTTAGAACTTTGTTTAGTAGCCTTAAATCTAAAAGAGGTCTCCGTCCTCCATTTTTCTCCGGTACGAGGAAGTAATTGAAGTAGAACCCCTTTTCCTTTGTGTTGAGCATGTACAGGGTCTATCGATCCTAATCAAAGAAGGGAGTTTATGTCCTGTCTGAATGACCCCTTATGAGAGAGGTGGGAAAGAGAAGGGAGGGATGGAATGTGGATGGTGTAGCTCATTGGTACAGTATCAAAGACCCATTTGTCTGTAATAATCTGCACCCAGGCATGCTGAAAATGGGGAATCCGGGCAAATTGAGCGTGGTGAAGTAAAAAATGGGGAGGATTTGAACCCTCAACCAACCCATCAAAACTGGTGTTTTGATGCTGGCTGTATTCGGTCCAGGTGGGTGAGCGGTTCTTTTCCTCTGGAGGGTTCAGTGGGTCTTTGGAACCTAGAGAATACGATTGGATGGGATCTCTGGGCAGTTTGTGACCTACTAAATTTTCTTTTATTTGTAAGGGTGTAAATTCCCAGGGATCATAAAGTGGCCCTGGAGTCTTGCTCCCTCCTACAACCTGTTGCCGTCTTCACAGCAATTATCGCTGCTACCTTGCCCTAGGTGCCGAAGTACCCAATGGGCAACACCTAGACCCCAGCAAGCTCCCAAGTATTGCTAGGTTGCCTTCTTGGCCCTATTCCCCAGGCCTGTGGAAAAAGGTCATACTGCGGTTCCCCTAGATGTCCTCACACAGCTCTGTAATGGCAGCATCCTCTGGTCCAGGCCCTCCGCACTGCACCTGCTGAGCTTCTGGCCAGCTCTTCCCAGCTGCTAATCTCCCTGCTGGGCTTATACTTCATCTTCCCCTGCTGACTGGAGCACCTCATCATCAGCCTCTGGCTCATGGTGCCCTCGTAGGCTTTGCCACTAGCTCCCGGCAGTTGAGATCAGCTGCCTGCTGTTTAGAACAGTGACAAGTCAGCTGTGTCACTTGCAGCTCAGCTCTCTGGCCCTGCAGTCTTCTGCCTAGCTACAGTGGCTGGCTGCATTCCCTATGGTCCTGCTTTCCCCTCTCACTAGCTGCAGGACTCCCACAGCCCCCCATCTTCCTTCCCAGGCCTAAGAGAAAAAAAGGGGTAGAGAGATTTTGCCTTCCTGATAGCCATGATCCATGCAGGCAGGTGTCAGCTAAGACAGTTCTTAAAGCACGTCGACCCTACAGAATCCAGGTATTGACCTTGCCTTTCCTGACGCTCAGGCCAACCTTAGCCCTCCCAGGTTAGTGCATCACTAACAAGCCGGGTGGCTTAACACAGCTGCTGGAACCTGCCTGCTGAATTGGTCAGTGCAGAAGATCACACTCGCAAAGCGTTTGATGAAAGGGATTCAGAGGTTAAAGGCTGCAAATTAAGCAGGATGAGAAAGGATGATATGGGGCATGTGGGCAAGGAGTGAGCGGTATGGGTCAGTCCCAAACCAACCCATGTCCCAGTGGGGACTGCACACTGAAAACAGCATGATTGCGTCCTGGAGCTTAATGAGGCTGTGAAGTAAGTGCCAGGGTTTGAATGTCAGTGGCCTTCCCAGCAGGTCCAGCAACTTAGGAGTCTTCCAGCTCCCCCTTTTCATCCAGGCAATTAAATGTTTCATGGCTGTGTGGAGCTTCCTTCCACCGCCGGCTCCTTCCTGCACTTTGTCATTCCCTCTCTGTCCTGCCTTTCACTCACAGGTCACCTGACTACCTCGGCCAGCCCCAACTCAGAAAGCCATGTATAGCCAGTGGCCAAGTGTGAGATAATGTGACTCTTGTGTCGGAGCAACAGCTCCAGGGCTGGTGCCACCACATCCAGCCCTGGCTCTGCAGTGCCATTCTGCCCTTGGACCCTACTGGGCTGCCAACCCGCAGATCACCGTGCTATGAACCTAGCTGTGCAAGTGGAGCACCTTGTGCACACCGGTCCAACACTACCCCTCTTTATTGCCTATTTTTACACCTACAGTAGAAAATTTGAGAAGCAGTGCCAAGGTCCTGGTCACCTGGTTCTACCAAGCCCTTGAGAGGTAAATTGAAACATACCTGCTAGGGGCCAGGCTGGTGGCAGGGATTGGAAATGGCCTGTAAAGCCTTTTAGTTGTAGAGCACCCATCCAAAACCAGCCTAGCGTGGTTGTCACCAAGTCACTCCTCTGACAGCTTTCCAGGGGTTCCTATGGGAAGTTGATGGTCTCAGTCCATATTGCCCTGGCCCTATTGCTAGGATAGAGGCCAAAGAGTCAGGGTCTAATAAACCCTTCCAAGCCAACGGGAGCGCTGCATTCAGATAGTGCCACCCTGCTGGACTGGGCCCTCAATGGGCCACAGAGACGGAGCTTGTCCCTCCTCTTCCCAGCTCATGCCTGAGGCAGAGTTTTTCCCAAGGCCAGGGAGCATCATGTATGCCCAGCTACAGCCCTCCTCCCCTTGAGTACATGATGGGTAATGGGATCACAATTCAGCCCTACCCTGCCCCATATATAGAACCCACCTAACTATGTGACTCACTGCACTGGATCTACTTTAGTCGCTGAAGCAGAGAGGACACATTAGCTAGATCCTGAGCGCTCTCACAGGAAGAAATTGGCTGCTCCAATTTACTGCCAACAGAGCTGAGAGAATGGGCTAGGGCAACCGAGTGAGCTGTGACAAAGGGCAGGAGGTTAGGGCTGAGCATTATGCAGTATTCATTAAAGGCTGGAGGATCAAGGATACTAACAGCTCAGAAATGGATCATAACTGTCCCAAGGGCTTCAGGATTCAGTACTAGGCAGCAGCAGAGAATGAGAAGCAGGGCAGCTCAGGCAGGCAGTGAGAAACCTTGATTAGTTTGGGGGATGAAACTAGGTTGCAGGCCACGGAGGAGTGAAAGGAAGTACAAAGGCAAGATGGAATTAACAAACTCCACCTGAAACCATGCCACCTGCACAGCCTCCAGGAGGAGAACTGTGGGTTTGGGTTCAGTCAGGTCATGGGCTTAATGATATTGATTTAAACAGAAAAAATCTCAACAGGGTAGATGCTAATTTCATACATCCCATCAGCCCTTTTGCGACCCAGAAATAACCAGGAAATACACACACTTGCTTTTCCAGATTTTTGGGGAAAAACAAACCCATAAGCCTTAAACAGGTCTTGGCAATTCAGGAGGTAATATACAGTACTCTACAGAGTCAGGATAGTGTTGAAGGGGTGTTAGGCTGTAGGAGCCATAAATCCCATTTGTGGTCACTAAAGATCACCCATGGGAGGGACATTTGCTGCAGGGCTCTGGCCACATTCCAGAACCTGGGGAACGATGTTCTACTTAACCACCTTCTCCTGAGAATTTCAGTTGGATGTTCCCACAGCTCCTCTCCTAACCCTCTGTGTCATGTTACTGGGAGCTGTTAGGCAGCTACCCCATAGGTATCTGTATGCCAGCAGTGAATTAAACAAGCCCTGGTGTGGATTCGTAACATGGACTGGGATTCTCAGGGAGGAAAGGCGCTATAGAAATGTAAGACTGGGACAACCTTGGTTTGTGCATATTTGAGAGTTACGGTTCAGACAGCTCTGAATGTGACGTGTGACTCTAGGAATAAACCAAGAGGAGCCTCTTTGCAATATAAATTTGTTTTTATTGAAGCAGCAGTCACATGACCTTGCATCTAGACTTTAGGATAGCGACAGAACGGATGTGGCCAGGTCAGCCAGCCCAAAAAGGATTTTTGTTGTTGCGCTAATAGACAAGTCATGTTTAATACATACATTATCCAGTACTGGAAAACCCAACTCAGAGATAGCAACGTGCTGATTTGTTGGAGGAACAGCCCCACTGGATGTGGTCTTGACAAACTTTACAGATCACCACCAAATAACATTACTAATGGGATCAAATAAAAAAAGATGAGTGCGGTATTCAAAGCCAGCAATTTACACAGGTTCTTAGCTTGCCCCTATAGGTGGAGGGTAACGTTTTTTGTTTGTTTTTTTTAGCTGCACTGCCACGGGGTTCCTCGCTCCATCAAACCAAACGGAATCATAGACAGAAGCTGGCATCTCTTGGGAAAGTATCATGGAATAACACAGATCATTTAAGAAAACATGCTTATTTTAATTTTAATTATTACAAAGAGTCATGTCCACCTATTTTGGGGGGGGTGGGGGTGGAAAGAGGTGTGGGGTCAGGAATGGGGTGGAGCAGGAAGAGGAGGAGAGAAAAACCAGGGTTTTGAAATAAAGACCACACACTTTGCATTTTTAAATTTAATTTCCAGGCTAACCTACTTTTTATTTAATGCAAATTACAGTACCAGTTAACTATTTCCGAACCGAGTCACACAGAACAAAATGTATTTACAAGGGGGTCGGAGGGGCTGGGGAAATAATAAAACATTAAGCATACTTTCCACAAAAAAAGTTTATATTTAAAATGAAAAAAAATTCAGTCACAGAGGCATTCAAGTAGTAATAGTTATACAGGTTTTGCTTTTCCTTTAAATCAAGACAGATTTGCACAAGTGTATGCAATAGTTTGTATACAACCCACAGTCCTTAATATATATATTTATTTTTTTGTAGATTTCTGTTTTTAAGATGGAAGCGGTCAGGCTAATTTGTGTGTGTACAGGCCCAAGTGATCCGTCAGCAACACATTAATGAACGCAAATTTTTACAGGCAAGCAAATTTATATATATAAATATATATATATATAAAATTGAGGAAGAACACCACAAGGACGCTACTTTTCTCAAGCTAACCCCCTAGGTACTGTTTTTTTAGTTTTACTTTTCTGTTGTTTTGCTGTTATTGCAGTGTTGCAAAATGAAACAAATTCCATGAACAAAAACTGACTAAAACCCCTGTGGAAATAATGGGAACCCCAAAGATGCCTTTTTATAGTCTCAGAAAAGTAGCTCCTGGGTCGAATACTCCACTGTGCTTTTATAGCTTGTGTAGTTTTTTTTTTTTTTTTTAACCTTCAGTAGCTGAGATTTCTAATAGAGAAAAGTTTACTGGTAATTGTTTTTTTTTTTAAGCATAACAAGTCTGGAAAAATGTAAAATGATCTCTCGTTGCAAACTGCAGGCATCTGCCGTTATTGAGATAAAACTTGGTTTAAAACAACTAGAAAAGTGAACTGGGATCTTGGATCAGCCATTTTTTTTTGTTTTTTTTTTTTAAATTTATAGGTAAACGACCATCATTAATTTTTTTCCTTAAAAAGGTAGCTAAGTTTGAAATTAAAATACCAGTGTCTTGATTGACGTCCACCAGGGGACACAGAGAATGTAATTCATTCCATCTCAGAAACATATGCAATTGCAGAGTAGACAAAATGACAGATCAAGACCATACTTCATTAAAAACAAGCCAAAATAAAATAAAAAAAAAAAAAAAAAAAAAGCAAGCTAGTAACAATTCCGAGTGGACTGTCAAAAACAAATTGACATCACTGACCTTCCTGTCACCAGAAAGAAAGTGCAGCCTCTGCCTCACTGGAATGGACACGAGATGGATAAAAACAAAAACCAAAACAAACAAAAAACCAAAACAAACAAAAAAACCAGCAACCTTTGGTTTGGTAAAGAGTTAAGTGTTTTCCCATTCAAGACAATCTTATGTGGAATACTAACAAGGTAGAAAACACAAGTGAACTAGTTTTAAAAACAAGGCCTTCGTGCTGGGCACAAGAAATCAAGAATAACATTAAAGTTATTGTCTTAAGAAAACAAACTGGCAGGGGAGGGGCTGGGGAACAGCAGAAACAGGAACAGGAAATTCCCTTAATACAAAGATGCTATAGTGTCCTACAGTAATGGCCCCAGAGCACCGCAGCTATCCTGCAGGCTGTCTGGCTCTCAGTGTAGAATACTAGGGGGATTTTTAAATATCTTTTCTGTTTGTAAAAGCCCAATTTGCTCTCTCTTTAACACAGTGAAGGGAGAGACAAAAAACCAAAGGCTCCACAAGACCTCTGGACAGAAGGAATAGGGAGAGACGTGCAAAGTCTAATCTAGCTACTAGGTGCCAAGTGGGCAGGTGTCAAATGAAACCAGTCATTGCTATTGGGGGGCAGTGGCGTGGGCAACTTTAGAACATCCAGAGCAAAGCCATGGCTTGAATGAAATGATTCACAAACACAATTTCCTTTCGTTCCACTACGGACCATGGTATCACTGAAACCTTACAAGCACTCCAAAGGGTGAGAAAGCAGGGGAGCAAAGATGCCATTTTGTCTGGGCTACAGCTGTTAAAAAGGACAAAAAAAGGGAAATAAAATTAAAAAAATCATGGAAGCGAAGGCACTCCAAACTATATAGATACACTATACATCGCTAGAGTTATTGTTACAATAATACAGGCCGGTACCTACTGTACAGAGTTAAAACTATATGGCTTTAAAAAGCTCGTCTACATTTTGTCTGATTATTAAACAGAATCACTGCCCTGAACGGTAACTTTTTGCTCATTAATAACAGTTCCTGGGTCCACATATTTACATACAAAACAATAAAACTCAAAATTTAAAAACAATCAAAAATAATGTACAAGCTTGAATTTGGTGAGGAGCTCCCCCCATACCCTTATTTAAAAAAAAAAAAAAAAAAAAAAAATGTGATTCAAAGGCCTGGATCGAACATGTACAAAAAGCATTTGTGATCCTGCCATGATCCTTGAAAAAAAGTCAGAGACGCCAGCCTACACAGACACACACTTGCACCATCGTGAAGTAGAACTAAAAGAATGAGAGAAAAGCTCTTTACTCTTCTCCTCTACCAACCACCTGAAACAAGCAGCGATTTTTATCAACTTGGTAATTTACTGTCCCCAAGTCCAGAGTAAATGTCTTTGCCCAGCCTTCCAGCTGTCTTGTCTATACAGCAGATCCAGTCACTGCTACTGTCCCCAGCTTTTCAAGTCTTCTAAAATCTCTCCGGACATTTGATCATGTCAGGCTCTAGTCCATCATTCATGGCACTCACTGGCTCATTGCTTGCATTAACACTCCTTTCAGGCTTCAGTTATTTATTACAAGTGCAGGGGGTGTTTTTGTTCAATTAAAAAACATGGTTTCCCTTCTCTTCAGCTGTAATCAGCCTAGAGCTGCTTAAAAAATCTTTTCTGTTGCCCACAGTTTCACTAAATAATGAGGGACATAACTAAGGTGGATTAGCCATTCTCTTTCCAGGTATCCACTCATCTGTGCAAACAACTCCCCTCCCAGACAGCCGTTGTTTAGCAGACAGGACAGAGGGACCTCTACGGCTGCTAAGAAACATTCCTTCAAAAAAATCTCACAAACGGGCAAACATGAAGCACATGGACAGGAAATGTACTGAGTTCATAAACAAACCTCCTGCCACCCTGCAGTGACTGCGTTTAGTTAGCCGCTACTGCTGGCTACTCCTGGGCCACACATAAAAGTCTGTAAATGTAAGAAACAATTTATTGTGCCTTAAAGATCCACAGGTCAAGTAACAGCCCATAAGCACCAGGCGACTAAGGTTTCTCTGAACGTGTGTAAGGCCCACAGGGACATCAGCCTCAACGATGAGACAGACCAGGCCTCAAAAGTCTATTTCTGCATTGCAGCTGCAACTCTTCCTGCTGCTCAACTGACTTCTCCCAAGGAATATTGCTTTAACTTCAGAAATGGAGACTTTGATTCTAACACCATTCACCACTACAGGAAAAAAAACCCTTAAACTCAGACTGGAAACAAACATTCATCTTATGCTTCAATCAGACCATTTAAAGACTGTAGACAAAATAAAACTCAAAAAGCAGTACTGTATCTATTTATATTATATACACACACTTATGTCGTCAGCTTCCCCTCAAGTCAGCAGGTACAAGTTACTGTTGATATCATTTGATGTGTATTTTATTAATATTCTACCCATGTAAAAACATAATGGCAACTCTGACATGCATCAATAAATAAAGATTAAAAAAGCAGGAGGTTAAAATGATGAAATTAAATACAGATTCTAGCTGTGGATTTAAAATTAGATCTATCTATAGAGCGTGGCAATCTGCAAGCTCAAACTGCAGTAAAAAATATTACAAATAAACCAGTAGATTGTTACAGTTCACATTATAAACCCTGGTGTCCTTTTCCTGTGTGCATCTTGGGAAAGGGCATCCCGTTCAGAGCAAAAAACTGAAAAATGCTTTCACAGTGGCCACTTTCCAAAAGGCCCCAAAACTCTGCCTGCCCCCTCCTCCTGCGGGATTCCATTCATCATCTTCTCTCTGCTGGAGATTAGAGCTGACTGGCCCTTCTCTTGCACTACATGGCTCTCTTCAAAACAGAAGTCCAAGACTTGGTGGAGGAGCTCAGACTAGGCAAACAAGCTGCTTCAATAAAGCTAACCAGGTGTGTTTGACATGCGTGTGTGTATATATTATAAATATATATCCATATATATCCCACTTGATAGGCTTTTTTTCCATATTGAAGCTGCAGGTTTCTCCCTTGCTAGCGCTAATTTTTAAAGTAAGTCTTCCACTAGCAGTTCCAAGTTTAGACATACAGTAAGCACCCCCCGCCCTACATATTATCTTATCACCTCCCCATCCCCCAGACCATGCCAAAGGCAGTTCTTCAGATAGCCTCGATATGGATTCACTTACAAGAAACACTGCGCTCTGTTGAATGATCCTGGCTAAGCTCCCAACCAAATTCAAGCTGTGCACTACACCAAAGTCTGAAACTTCACTTCAAAGGAAAATAAAAAAAGAGGTTATTAAAAAAAAAAAAAAAAAAACCAACGTCAGCAGAGAATGACGTTCTTTCTGTTGTGGGAGGGGGCATGAGGCAAGAGTCCTTGTTCTGAAGTACACAACAGCAAACTTTCCATGCGAAGAGATTGTCAAGGGAAGAGACATTGGTGTGTTCTATTGCTCCACTTTCCCTTCTCCCCCCCACCTATTCCCCTGCCCTGGAGACCCCGCAGAGTGAGAATACAATGAAACTGGTTTGTATTTATAGATATTTTACAAGGTTAAATAAGAACAACAATAATAATAAAAAAATTGAACACTAAAATGAACAGGGTTTGTTTCGTTTTGTTTTTTTCCTCTTTTAATTTTCTTTCCAAATGTGACCAGTGTTGCTGAGCAAGACTCAAATTACTGGTGATTTTTCCTGTGCAGCTGGCTTGCGTGGGACCACTTCAGGTGGAGTTGGAGGCTGATGCTGAAGCTGCGTTATTGGTCTGACCTCGCTCTCCTGCATTAACATCTGCCAATGACAGAAAGGGGAGAGCAAAAAGCAGTGTTACTTCCAAGCAACAGTCACCTCAATCAATGGATTTGACCCTTCTGGCGCACACAGCCCTACAGCCCCCACCAGCTTCGAACCTATGTAGTCTGCATCACTGTGCCATGCTGTGGGGTTAAGATGTTCTCCTGAACGCAATCATGGCTGAGGAGGGAGTGATTCAATGGGGCATGATCTGCAAGAAGCACATTACTGACTCAAATGGAGCTGCAGAAAAGCCTTTTTCAAAGGTTGAAGTCACCAGGGTACCAGCACTATCTTGCACTTTACACTGCAAGTGTGCATAGCTGTAGGCCAGAGGTGGCCCAGTGGGAAAACTTGCTGCAACGCTCACAGTCATGTTAGAATTCAATAACTTTACTGGCATGGCAAAGCACACTCGCATTCCCAAAGTATGTGTGGCTACCACAAGCTTTCCCATTGGCGCTCAGGCTTTATATTGTGTCCATCATGTAGTGAAGCCATCTGTTAAATGTGTGAATGAGCCGAGACAATGAAAGCAACCGACCACAGTCTCTGGTAGAAACAGCTTGTGTATTAACGTGTAATTCATGCACTTGTTCCCGCAATACATGTCTTTCAGGTCTATTGCTTTATTTCAGGGTGCATTTGATTTAAATCACTAGTCAGAACGACTCGATTTAATCATGGTTTTCTACATAAAAGTGCATTCTTGTTGGTTGTTATAGCCTTAATACATATTCTTCACAACTTAGAGATAGATGTAGGTTTCATTTTATAAGGTATATGCTATACATTTTTAAACTGTGATTTATTTTGAAAACTTTTCAGATTAGTTTTACAGCTATATCAGAAAATGAATGATTGTTTGGTTATTTCATTTACCAAAGGTAACTGAAGCAGATATTTATGTATCACTGGGAGGTGAACTATCTCCAATTCAACAGGTTAATCATTAATATTTGGAGGATTTTCTTGCCATGCTGTATTAGGAGGAGATCATCACCAGACAGACATTTAAATTGTTTTATTGAACTAAAACAACAACGTTAAGTATTCTGGATTTTTTTCTTCAACAGCAAGCATATATTTTAACAAAACAAGCATATGTCCCTCGCTTCTCACATTTATCTCCAGACTTCTTCTCCTTGTTCAGATCTATTCCACCCCCAACAATCTTCTATTAATTGAACTTTTTGAAACTTTGCACTTTTAGAGATTGGTAAGGAATTGACTGTGTACACAAATTTGCGGAGAGACAATAGGGTTGAGGTCTGTTATTTCTCACCTCTATATATAATTTATTTATTTAAAATACATTTAAAAACATTTATTTAAAAACATTTTTGCTGTTAACAAGCATGTTGCCTCTGGAGACACAAATCCACAGTCTGAGAACTTCAAAACTAAGCATCTCTGATCGTATCGTCTAGACTGAGCACCTAGTCCCATTGGGTAGACAGAAAGATTAACCTAAATAATCTATACAGAAGCCCCTGGAACTCCATAAGATTGGGTCCCTAATCCATGAACTATTGGAACTCATTTACAAAACTTTTCTTAAACACTACATGAATATATTGTCTCATACTAATAGAATTAGAATTTATAATCCCTATTCCATGATGAGATATCTTTGAGCTATAATGTATCTTAATTAAAACTATCTTCAGATAGGTTTTTCCTCAAAAAGCATTTTATCAAAAAAAAAATCTAATTTAAATAAAAAATCAATCTTTACATTTTTTTTTTAAAATCATTGATTTTTATCCACCCTGCTTTACTTTGGGGTTGCTCAACACAAGATAGACTTGCCACCTTCCTAACTGCTGAAGCAGATTAATGTCAAGGCTGAAGCCAATAATGAGGCTTACACAATCATACTGCACTGTTGGAGGATCAGTGCCTGGCGGTGAATAACCTGAAACACGCTCTCTCTCTTCCCTATCTCGGACAGCAGTGTTCACTGGAAAGAGACTCTACAGGGTATGGTGGGCATGTGTCAAGATGCTTTCTAAGGAAGTGCAGCAAAGGATTGTTTCTTTTTCCTATTTCTTTGGAAACTCAGTCATTTCAATGGCATTCTTTCATTTACTGTACAAGAAGCAGCACAGATCATCTCAGTTTATAACAAAATAGAAATCTGTTGGCAAGCAGGATCTTTGACTGTGACCGAAAGGTCCTTCCAGAGAGAATCTCTGTGTTTTGCTGGTGCATTCATGAACATTTGAGAATAGGTGCGGTGTAAGAAGCCTGGAAAAAGCAAATATTTAAAAAAGGATAAAACAAAAGCCAAGATGCTGTTAACTGGGTAAAATATTAGAGGTGACAACACAGAAACCTATATATAAGAACAACATGATGGCCAATTAACCACATGTTTTTGGAGAGGACAGACAAAGCTGATAAATCTTATGCACAATTACAGTTCTGGTAGAAAAGGAAAATGTATCTGGTATAGTCCCACACAGAAAACTAAGCTGTTGTCTGGCGAGTATGGATAATACAAAATTGGCTGACACAGACTGTGAAGAAAAAGAAATTTATGATCATCACGAATACTAAGCTGGAGAAAGGTAATAACTGAGGGTTATCACAGGGCACTCTCCCTTTTATTCCCTCCTCCCCACTAACAAACTAAAAGAATTAAATTAATTGTAAACTAATCAATGTTGCAGATGGTTTCACACAAGGAGCTATCACAACACAGCTGAGGTTAGACAGGATGAACATAAACTGGAGATCTTGAGAGAAATAGGCTCACTAAAAAAAGGAAGAGATTGAATGTAGGTAAATATAACAATACAGTTGAAGGAAAGCATTGGCTAGCACAAGTACAAAATCAGAGGCTGTGTAGAGAAAAATGGGGGGCAACACCATCTCCACACCAGTAAAGAGCTTATCATGCAATGCAGCTGCAATAAAAAAATAAAACAGTAATTACATGGATGTACTGTGCATTGCACACATTTGTTGATGAAGCTCTTCTATCTAGCCATACTTAATAGTGACCAAAGTAGGGGGCACCGCATTGGAAAAAGGACACTGATAAATAAGGAAGACAGCCCAGAAAAGCACAGCACTGGATGACGGAAGAGTCAGACAATATGCTCCAGGAGAGATAAGGCTAAAAGAACATCGTCACCTAGGAGAAAAGGAGACAAATGGAAAAAGAGGGTGACCACCTACCCACATCTGAGAAGTGATAACCAGGATCAGAAGATGGGATCATTAAGCTGAGAAGCTATTTCGGGTAACAGGTTATTTTCCAGTTCTGGCTTCCCTCCACCCCAGAATGGTTCCTCAAATGCAGTAAAAATCACCCCAATGTACTTAAGATAGAAATCCAAAATTTTTTTTACCAATATGTTGGCATTATTGACAGCCCTTGGATTTAAAATATAGTCCCTGCTGTTCTGATGGCTATCCGTTCACGCTAACTAGCTAACTCACTATCACACTGACCATAAGAACGGCCCTACTGGGTCAGACCAAAGGTCCATCTAGCCCAGTATCCTGTCTTCCGACAGGGGCCAGTGCCAGGTGCTTCAGGGGGAATGAACAGAACAGGTAATCATCGAGTGATCCATCCCCTGTAGCCCACTCCCAGCTTCTGGCAAACAGAGGTGAGGGACACTTCAGAGCATGGTGTTGCATCTTTGCTCATCCTGGCTAATTGTCATTGATGGGCCTATCCCCTATAAATTTATCTAGCTCTTTTTGAACCCTGTTACAGTCTTGACCAGGGGCAGGCAAACTTTTTGGCCTGAGGGTCACATTGGGTTTCCGAAATTGTATGGAGAGCCAGTTAGGGGAGGCTGTGCCTCCCCAAACAGCCAGGCATGGCCTGGCTCCGCCCCCTATCTGACCCCCTCCACTTCTCACCCTCTGATGGCCCCCCACCCCGGGACCCCTGCCCCATCCAACCCCCCCATTCCCTGTTGGCCTCCCTGGGACCCCTGCCCCATCCACCCCCAGACCCCTCGTTACCCCATCCAATCCCTCCTCTCATGCCTGACTGTCCCCTGGGACCCCTCCCCCATCAAACCCCTTCTCCATGACTGCCCCCCGGCACCCCTGCCCCCATTCAACCCCCCTGTTCCCTGCCCTCTATCCACACCCCCACTCCCTGACCACCACCCCCAACTCCCCTGCCCTCTATCCAACCCCCCTGCTCCCTGCCCCCTGACCGTGCTGCCTGGAGCAGCGGTGGCTGGGAGCGCTACAGCTGCACCGCCCAGAGCACCGGGACAGGCAGCTGAGCTAGAGACAGCCACGCCACTGCACAGCACAGAGCACTGGGTCAGGCTGAGGCTGCGGGGGAGGGGGAACAGCAGGGGAGGGGCCGGGGCGAGCCTCCCGGGCCAGGAGCTCAGGGGCTGGGCAGGAGGTCCAGTGGGCCATAGTTTGTCCACCTCTGGTCTTGACCTTCAAAACATCCTCTGGCAAAGAGTTCCACAGGTTGACTGTATGTTGTGTGAAGAAATACTTCCTATTGTTTGTTTTAAAGCTGCTGCCTCTTAATTTCATTGGGTGACCACTAGTTCTTGTGTTGTGAGGAGGAGTAAATAACACTTCCTTATTCACTATCTCCACACCAGTCATGCTTTTATAGACCTCTATCATGTCCCCCCTTAGTCATCTCTTTTCCAAGCTGAGAAGTCCCAGTCCCATTGGGTACGAGAATACATATAACAGACAGCGTCACTGTGTGTTCTGTATACCACTTGTTGGAATGTGCTATGACTCTTGATTTATTGCCCCTGAAGACAAGGTGGCTAAAAGCGTTAAGATGTAATTATGAAACTGACAAAGAGGAATGGGGAAAAAATCTACCTCCAAGTAGTGTATGTAAAACCTGCTGCTTTCATGGTCAGTTTGCTAACTTGAGTTCCTGCAGAACATTTGCCTGAGATCAGTTCTGTGTACACATTAGAGGGAGGCGTAAGCAAGGAGACAGCCTAGGTTCTCATACTTGCGGCTCTTCTACAACAATATATACAAAGGCCTTCCAATTTGGGATCAGACTGCTCAGGCAGCTTGTTACATGTCTGCAAATACCTAAGTGCTGTACACCATGAACACTAGGAAAGACACCACCTTGGCTTTTCTGCAGGTTCTGTGCTGCCCGATCAACAGAGTGCAGGCTGGGACCAGGACAAGCGCAGCTATGGGCTAGTTTCAGTGCCTCCATACTACGATGTTGCACTGAAAGCACCCAGCCCAGAAAGGGGCCCTGCACACTCAGATTCCCCCTCCTTCATTGGGGAGTCAGCAGTTAAGCAGTGTACATGAGGAAATCTGTGCCTTTGACAGAACCAGCAAAAAAAAAAAAAAAAAAAAAAAAAAGCCTTGGGGGGGGGGGGGGGGGGGGGGGGGGATTAGTGATTGTGCTGATGTGACAAGCACTTGTGACTGTGGTATTTGCTGGTTCCCGCTAAATCTCCCCAGGTTGGGGAGATGACTGCAGCAGGCTCAGCAGTGCTTGGGGTGAGACTGTTCTCAGCCAGAAGCCTCCTCATTATCAGTCTGACAGCTCTGCACCTGATGGAAACATACCATGTATTGGGCTTAGGCCTTGTTATTGTCTCCACAGCCTTGTCAAGAGTGGTGGTGATCTATTGCTCCCTAAGGCAGCATTTTGCTGCTGCTTCTCCCAGTCCTACTTCCGGAATTGCCTCTGCTTTCTGGTCAGGGATGTAGTGTCCCTCAGAAGCCTACCAGAAAGGCTGCTAGATAGGATGGAGCTGCAGTCAGGGTACTACAACCCCCCGATGCTACTTGATTTAAGAACTGGTCAAAGGCCACAGGGATTTTCATTCCTGATATATTGCAATGCTAACATGAAAGGACACACTGAGGTAGCCTGCCAATAGTTTGAGGGTCCTTAAAAGGACAATTTAGGACTCAAGGGGAAGGGTGAGGTGAGGCAAAATTCATCAGAGAGATGTTCTTTGAGCCTAGAAATCCAGGTTCATCTTGTACTTTATTGCTCTCTATAGAGAACTGTGATCTAGTGGTCTAAGCCCAAACTGGGAGCCAGAAATTTCAGTCACAGACACACCCTGTGTAATCTGTGGACCTCTCTGAGCCTCATTTTCCTTGTCTAAAACACTGGGCTAATACCTGCCTCTCTCTCATGGGTGATGAGAATTAAATGCTTTCCAAGTGCTTTCAAGGTGAAACTGCACATCTCTGTGCTAAATATTACTCTATGATGAGTTTTGTCATGGTCCTGTGCAACTGCCCTGCGCTGGCAGGCAACTCCAGTTCCGCTCTGTCCCACCCATAATGCACATTCCAAACTTGATCTGAGTACAACTTTTATCCCGCCCCAAACCACCATGTATTCAAACATGTCACTGGGTCAAAGAAATCCTATTTTAGGGGTGTTTGAGTAAGTTTACAAACGGTATTGGAGCAAAATTTCATACCCACCTTCCTGAAAAGCCAGCTCCCATCAGTACCATGAGCCCACCTGTACAGGAATCTGAAGGAGAGGGAATTTATAACCAATGTATTTGGAAATCTCTTAAAAATTACACACAATAATTCCCTTTCACATACTGCCCTCATTTCAAGGGCTAATATTTCACTGGGCTAGAAGCAAGTGACATTCACTCATCCAGGACTAACTATTGCCCAGCTTGAGCCATAGGCCAAAGACATTTTTGAGGAAATCAGGTAACAGTCATTTTAGAGGCTTTTTTTCTCTGAGCATTTTAAACAGGAGCTGTTTGAAGCGATGATGTTACAGTAAGTTCTGGGAGGGACTGCTGAGCAGGTGAAGTTCAGATAAAGCTGTCAAAGTTGCATGATAAATGCCTTTCAACAGACAGCTACTGCCACCATACGTGTGATGGCTGCAAACACATTCAGACACATACTACAGACCAGATCCTCATCTGCAGTAAATTGGTGTCGATCCAGATACTCAGTGGCGTAAATCACTGTGAAAATCAAATGCTGGGTGTGACTACACATATAATGTCTCTCACACACAGTGTGTGCATTCAAGATGCTGGCTGTGATTCCATAGTTAAAGCTGAGTTGAGTTTTGCATTTAAAACAGAAATTCAGCACATCGGTTCTCACACATTTTTTTATACACACTCCCCCCCTTCCCCAGTATATGATTCTATAGATGTCAGGGCAATTTGCACAGGGCCTGTGTCATCTTATGTCTATATACAGGACCTACCTAGCACAATGGGTGTGACTGGATCTTCTAGGTGCTATTGTAACAAATGCTAAATAAAGGTGTGCTATTATTCCAAATAGAGTGCAGTTTACATGCTAAGAGAATTTGGCGAGACAAAGTCTAACTCTCCTGACCAGCATTACCATGCAAGACTTGGGAAAAACTACCAATTAGAGGTTATTTTTAACCATGACCCTACTCTGGATTCAGGAAGATGTAGACAGTATTCTGTCATGCTGATCATAACACAAAAACTGGCTCCCCCATCCCAGTTTTGATCAGCACAGTATCCTGAATTTTCAGCTACTGCATTATAGAGACACAGATTTAATGTCCCTATGTAACAATAACACTTCAGCACCATCAGAAGTGACAGTGATTATGTAACAAGTCCCTAAGGTGGGTTGTTTGTGGGGACCTCACCTGGACTCTCTGGATTTTGAAGTCTGAGCAGCTACTACCTGAGCTAACTGATCAGGTCCACTGGCTTGAAGGTACGAAGACTCAAACTCAAACAGATGCTATAACTGGTCTAGCCACTAGAGGGGGACAAAACGCCACACTGTATTACCATGCAATTAACCCACACTAACTTGTGTAACCTTTTGAAGTCTCCTGCTACATCTACAATCAGCTAACATCTCACCACTGCAAGAGTGGCTTTGAATAGTTTATTTACAAGGGCAAACATTTTGCTGAAAAGTGTCACTTTCAGTGTTGGCGCCCTGTATCAGATGACAAACCCATTCCCATGCTGCTCTGATACTGGTTTAATGATTAGAAGAACTTTGCTGCTCAGGGTCTCAGTGTTTCTCAAATGCAGCCACTGTGGCCACACGTGGCCACCAGGGGTTTTTCCTGCATCCACAACAGCTTCTTGTGCAGAGATGGGGAAGGGGCCAAAGCAGTGACCCCTCCTTGCAGCGCTCAGGGATGGTCTTTAGTATCCCCCATACCTGGCTGCAGCCACAGGACTCCTGGCAGCAGGCTTTAGTGCCCTGCATACCTGGCTGCAGCCACAGGACTCCGGCAGCAGACTCCCCCACCCCCAACTTCAGAGCTTTGGGTTTCAGGCCAGCCCCCCCGCCATGGTAGCAGGGCTCTGGCTGTGGGCTCCAGTTATGGGACTCTGGCTCTAGGAGTCTGCAGGGCTGGCCTTACTGGGTGCTATGGTTCAGAAGCAAGAAGTGGGGTAAGCCTGGGGTCTGAGGCCATGGAAGGAAAGCAGTGGGGCCTGGGGGAGGCAAGGGCACCAAAATATAACTGTACATTATTTTTATTACTGAGACTGCAAAAAAACCCTACAATCAATCAATAAAGATTTGGACATGTAAATATAAATATTTGTTTTTCCTGAAGTTAAATAAGTATTTTAGGAAATACTGTCAGAGTGGCCACGAGCAAGAGTTGGCTGTCACACTGTGAGGTCACCAAAAATTTGTTGAGACACCCCCTGGTCTAGACAGTGAATTCTATTGCCAGAGCTAAAACAAATCAGGTTCACACAATTTCCAACAGAGCCTAATCCTGAAATCTTAATTCAGGCTAAATTCCTCCTGGCACAAGAATTTTGTATGAGTAAAGACTAAACAGGTTTGGGTCCAAGGTCATCAAAATAGCTGTGTATGCAAAAGACTAAGATAATGTAACTGAAAGTTATCTAATATTGAACTATAAATCAAAATTCCTCTGTAGCTGCAAAAGATTCTCATGAGGACCAAAGACACTGGCCCATCTCAGCAATATAGTGGCTACTAACAGGAGGGTTAAAATGCTGACACTAATTAGCCATTTTTTAGTACAGTTCAGATTTAGGACTTGACCTGAAATGCTTTTCCCCATGTGAGCTCTTCGAAAGCTGTGCTAAGCAAAGCAAGGACACTGCTTTTTTGAACTCACACTATTTAGTTTCTCGTCACCTCTAAGCAATCATACTTTTTGTACCCTGTGCACATCTTAACGGCTCATCTGAAAGACAACACCTTCAGCCACACAAAACTGCTGAGAGCATACTGAGGCATTGGCTCAGCACTGACTCAGAGAAAAGAGTGCCCTCTCTTGAATCATCAACACTATATCATACCTGATCATACTTGCACTCCCAAATTTTCCTTGGAGACCTCTTAGCCAAGCTCTAACACTGCTCAACTTGTAAGTTCATATAAGATCACAACATACCAGGGTGTGTCTCCAGCCAGTAATGAGGTTTTATAAGTTTCTGACAGCAAGAGACAGAGACAAAGAAGAGAACCACTCTCAGTTGGGCAAAAAGCCAGAGCATTATTTGGTGCCCAAAGCTGGTATAAGGGCATCCACAGTAAGAAGTTGTAACTGCTTAGGTGCAGCAGAAATCAATACACTAAAAGTGAATCTCTTGGTAATCCTTTTTGGAAGTGCTAATGTATTTTGCATTAGTGAGAAAATCTTGTTTATCCACAATCAGTCAAAATTTGATTGGAAATAAACCTTTCAGATGACGGTACATTTACTGAGCTGATCTTTTCTCTTTTTTCTGGGTATCTCTAAAACTAGCTAAAGTTTAGAGCTCAACAAAATCAGCGCTGAGTGTCTGTGGGTTCCAGAAATTAACTGACCAGGAGGATCTTTCAAAGGTGAGCTTATTCTCATTGTTCCACTTCTTCACACTAGAAATTTGAGTGAAAGAGACACAGACACCAGGATGCGTCATCAAAATGAGCTGGGTTAGGACTCAGTTTAGTATTGCCAAAGTGCCCACAGCCAGCTAATCTAACAAGACTGAGTTTAAAATGGAGTTGGAATTAAATTATTCCTCGTCCACCCCAGGGTCTGTTACTCAAGCTTCTTAATGGAAGGAGTGTAGTTTGAGAGAGAAGGGAGACAGGCAGGCAGGCGCATGTTCTCACCTGAGGCTGCTGTAGCATTTGTAGGGGTTGAAGCAGCTGCTTGATTCCGAGCATGAGCAGGGATGAGGATCGAAGCCAAAGATGGGTTACTTGACAGTTCTGGAGGGGAGGTGGAACAAACAGAGTTAGCTTATAGTCCACACAGAACCTCTGCATGCAGATTAACTCCTTGGGTTTCTCAGCACACGTAACCATCAATGAAATGCATGCCCTAATAAACAAGGTCACATTACACTTCCATGTATGTCCATGAGCAAGAGGAAGCCACAGTGATATCGAGCATGGGAATTTCCAGAGCAAAGCGTCTCTGTATCAGCTACAAGAAGTGATCATTTCCCTGTGAAAGGAGATGACCATGGAGTAAGCAAAGCACCAACCAGTCCTGGTCCTTGGAAACAGCCTGTTAATACGACTTCATTCTGAGAATCACCCTTTCCCTCCATGAACACACCCACTCAGTCATCTTAAAGGAGAAGGCTGATGACAACAATGTGCTTCTTTGGGCATTGACTGTTACAGGTTCGCCAACAGCTCAGGGGAGTCAGTTCCTTGGCTCACAAACTCCACTAGAGACACAAAGTGTGCGAGGTAATAGCTTTTATTGAACAAACTTCTGTTGGTGAGAGAGACAAGCATTCAAGAGATGCCACTATACTGCTGAGATGGGACAGTGTCTGTGTCTCTCTCTCGCCAACAGATGGTCCAATAAAAGCTATTACCTCACCCACCTTGTCCCTCTAATACCCTGGGATCGACACAGCTACAACACCACTGCATTAAACTCCACTAGTCAGGGACCTACAAGCCCAACACCAGTGACATAGTTAAGTCTCCTTAAACGCTGCCAAGCAGCCTAGAAGGGCTGATACTTCCTTTGAAGACACAGTGAAAAGCTGAGGGGTTTGATTTTAAGGTCAGTTAAATGGAACACAAAAGTTACTACTGTTCTTTCAAAAAAAACGTAACTTAAGAAAAATAGAACAGTCAAGTTGCTGAGGCCCCAAATTTAAAATAGATGCAATATGTATTGGAGTAACAGTCATCTTATAATGGCAACTGGTGGTAACACTATCAGCTAAGTGTGATGGGGTGGTGCAGACTAGGTCATCAAGTGATAATATGGCAGGCTGCCCTGAAGGGGATCACTCTAGTACTACACTGAAGCTGGCAATGGAGCAGAGAGGAAGGAGAGCCTCCCGATGGCTGCTTCAGAAGTGGAAAAGATTGCCTCTAAAGGAAGCCACATCCAGATAAAGCAACGGGGCAGTCACCTCAAGGAAGGAGGAGAAAGACAACCCTTGGCACTGCAAGAACTCGCCTGGGAGAGAAGTGCATGCAGACAGTAGTTAACATAAACTCTGTAAAGAGAGAAAAATCTGTCCTGAAACCAAGTCCAATCATCCCGCAGACAAAAAGGGTGGTTTTGTACATGATTGTCACTAGCTACTAGGTTTTATCTACTACGCAGATTAAGGAGCCTATGTCTTTTCTGTAACATGTACATTGAATTTAGAGCCTATAAGGGCTGACGCGTCCATTTGATTTTTTTCCGTTTCTCAACAAATAATGTAAAAAGAAAAAGTAATTGACTGAGAAGCCAAGCTGGAGAAAGCTCATTTCAACTACTTACTAACCTCTCACCAGTGCACAGTGTTGGGCTGTGCTTCCACAAAATACACAGATATTCTGACTGGCCGTAAGTAAACATGAGTCACTGCAATAACTGAAACCAGACCAACACCATCTAACTATCAGCACACGGCTATTAGCCGCTCCATGCCCAAAGAAGTTACTCCACTCTTCCCCCCCACACACGAGTAATTTCTTAACTCAGTTGGTATAGAGAACTCACTGCGTGTCTCGCTCTTTCTACAGCTCTTAGTGCAAACAAATATACTTTTCTGTTACCCACTGGCATATAATCCAACAGGGAAATGAAGGGGAAATATGGACACTTACCCTACCAAGAGCACAGCAAAAATGTCATTCATTTTGCTTGACATAGTACCCCTTGATGGCAGTGTTTTAGAGATAGCACACCCAGCTAAAATGTATTGCAGCCAAGCGTCTATAGCCACACTCCCAATATCTAAAAGGTATGGCTGACCTAATATAACTACAATGAGTCAACACAGCTTCCATTCCCCTGTGATTCTTCCGGCATCCAGTCATTAAAGAACTCAGCTCACACTGGCAGAATAGCCACTTTCACTCACTAAGCATCTTCCCACCTGTGGTTCAGGCAGAAAAATCTACTAGAAGTGCAAACATGTCAGAAGCTACTCTAGGGGGTAGAGATAATAGGCAGAAAAGGCCCACACCCTCTCCATTGTATCCAGGAATCTAAATTCAGGATGATGTGAATACCACAGTATTTCAACTAGAGAGGGATGGATCAATTCAGAGAAAATAACTGACCCAAAACAAACGGCAATTTTTTGAAATTTAATTAAAGATTTGGTTAAAAGCTTAATTAAATATGTGTTCTCTTATTTGTGTGTAGCTGCAACACACCTCCTGGTTCTGCCCACTACTGGACATGCCAAAATACTGCAGGGAATGGCTGGATTTGTATTATCTGCAGCCTGTCTGCCTCCCTTCTCTCTCAGGAGATTTCCAGCCCAAGATATGAAAAAGAACCTTAACTTTAGGATGCCTAACTGAATCAAATCCCCAGCTCAGGACTCTGAAGCCCTCTCTACACTCTGTAAATAAACAAACTAAATATGGCTGTAAGAAGCCATTGCCTGGAAAGCCTTTAGATTTCAAAGACTTCAGCATCTCCTGTCCACACACAATTGTCCAAGACATCTTACAAGGACTGGCTGCCACCACTGGGACCATGTCTTTAGTTCAGTTCTAGCAGAATCAGGGCAGTTTACAGAGGTATATCCCCATCAAGGAAAAGGAACTCAAACATTACAGATGTATCAGTTCAGCTTGTCCTCCTAGCTCCATCCCAATGCAATGTCTTGTGTTTAGAAATTGCCCAGTAGCCCCATTCCCAATATCAATGGGTTAGTTACTTCAGGAATCCCAAAATGCATTGGTAAAACTACAGTTTTAAGACCTGTTTGCTGCATGTGCAAACACTGCTAAACAGTCACAAGGACAAGTGAGAGGACCTAACTTTTCACGCAATTTTGTCACTGCAACAATTTCTTCTCAACATAGACAAGCCCTTCAGAGTTTTCAGCCCCCATACATTTCAGACTGCACCCCTTTCCAAGCCAAGCTATTCTGTCTGAAAGTGAACTGGACCGGCATAGCACTCAAAAGGTTATAGTGCGAAGATTTCTAGTTATGTGGAGACACAGTTAGGTTTCAAATGAAACGTTTTGATTAAAAAAACAAAATAGAACAATACACCTGACTGCTCTTTACTGCCTAAAAAAGACACTGGCAAAATGGCAGCTGTGTCAGAGACAGAAAATCATTTTCTTATCTGCTGGTTCAACTGCAAAACTTCACACTAGTAATGACTAACACAGCACAATAGTAACAGGAATATCAGATGCCTTGGTGGGACTGAGCTGGTAGGATCTGTTACAACACTGGTAGTTCAGGGCGACAAAAATGCATAAACAATTGTGGATGGAAGCGATCACAGGATCATAGAAGATTAGGGTTGAAGGAGACCTCAGGAGGTCATTTAGTCCAACTCCCTGCTCAAAGTGACGTGGGAGGTTGTGCAATTTCAACAATACCACCAACACTTGCACAATCTTGTGTGTGGACAATGATTTTTACAGATCTAGCAGGACTAAACAGTACAACAATCTCCCCTTATAATGTAAATCGGCCCTGTGTGTGTGTTATTAAAACTACATTCCATATTGGTTTAGCCTGTCCACTCTCTCTCTCTCTGGGAGATGTTTTGGTACATCCAATGCAGTGCACTTCCCACATGGGTAGTGTGAATCATGTTAAGTCAGAAGACTACGTTTGTGTTTACCCTCCCTGGCAGGACTTGAACTAAAGTGGTAGCATGGTTTAAAAGTTACGTTGTATGGACACAAACCTTGCTTCGGTTATCTGGGTTACAACAGGGCACCATGTTTCAAAGTTGGGAGCATGGACAGGACTCTGTTTCAAGCATAAGAAGGTGGATCTTGCACTTACTACAGAGCAGGCATCAATGCCTAAACTACATGGGCTGAACTGGAATGGAAATGGATTCCTAGCAGGTAACAATGCATAGGGATTCTTCCCTGCCTTAATGCTAAGGGCTTGCAGCTATTTATTTAGAAGAATACACTACAACACTAACAAGCTTGTACACCACATTTCTTGCACTCCATACTTAACCAGACCAACCCTGAAGACTTATCAAATGTGAACGGAGAGAATAAATGATGTAAAGGATGCAAGCTCTGCACATACATTTTTGGGGGGAAGGGGGGGGCAAGGATGGCTAATTTGGTACTGGTATGGCCGCAGATAGTTCAACATGAAACATTTCAGGATCATGCTGCGTAATTTAAAAAGTAACTTCCTCAAAAGTTCTTTCTGCTGGATGACAGACATAGTATTTACAGCCCTGGAGAACTAAGGACTCCATATTTGCCCCCCCGCAAGACCAGACAGTCTTGACAGCAGCAGTGCAAGCTTTCCCACATTGCTTCCCAAAACCTGCTTCAAACACAATGGAACAGGGTCACCTTTAGAAGGCAATTCAGTCTCCGTGGTCCACCGGGTCCTCAACCTTTGGGTGAGACTCCAAACAAAGGTGTCACTTGGACTGTGGACACTAGGAATTGGCCTGAAGCTGTAAACTTACTTTATGCAATCAGACAGTAATGACTTCCAGTCCCGTGGACTGAGTTGAATCAATAATGCAAGAGGATAACGATTTCATAACCCTTTCCTTCCCTCCCCCGAAGCTGATGCAGTCCATTTTTGAGAATGATCACTGGCTATACAACGGGTCCATGTTCTTGCCCCACCTCTTGATTTTACTATTGGGGGAATGGCATTTGTATGACAGAACTTTTGGCACAGTGCTTCTTCCCAACGGAAAGCTCCTCAGTGCTCACAGGCTACCTTGAGTGGTGAAGTTGAAGAGTGCAGGTTTCTCTCGCCCATTCGGTAGTTTGACATTTGGGTCCCGTAGTTCATCGAAGAAAGAGTGCGCACATGCTTCCAGGGGAGTCAGGCGGGCAGTGGGGGTGTACTCCAGCAGACGGCTACATAGTGCGATTGCTTCTGGTGGAGTGCGGGGTCGGAAGACCTACAGAAAAACAAGAAACAGATTGTTTGGGCTTGTTTCTTTTTTATTACTGCAGCAAGTCTGAGCAATTAAATCTCTCAGTGCCTAGTGAGTTGAAACTAAATGCTATTTGTGCTAATATAATGGGTCCTCAGGTATTGGGATGGGAGAATCCAGCTTCTGGGGTTGAAAAGGTTAAGTGAAAAGGATTTTGCTGTGTGGGTGAAGGTGCAATGCTAGTGAAAGGCTGCATGGGAGAGCTCAGAGAAACAACTCTAAGAATTAAAAGAAAATTCATTGATCTTATGACAACACACACATTGGGTGAAATCAGCCATGCATATGATAGGGAGAGGGGTGCAAATGAGCAGGATTCATTGAAAGTTAAAATTAAAAAGGTCGCCATGGTTCATTTTGGCAGCAAACAAATGATTTTCCCCCCTAATGTGGATTTTTGCAGGCAAGTTGGTCAGATTATTGCTATGGATGACACTGTTCAAGTTTGGAAATGAACAGGTTTGGTGCAGAAAAGCTCTCTACTTCAAGTTTACAGGTGCTGCTTCTTCTTGACATTATTGTGTTAAGTGATTCCTACTAGTTAACAGAGATAATTCCTGCACATTTGGAGTTTGTGAGAACACTAAAAGGTGATGAGTGAGAAAGCTATCTGACTCTCTCAGAAGTTTACCTTGAGGATATAAACCACAGAGTTCACAGCAGTTCTTCCTTGAAGTTATAGTTCAGATCCCTTAAAAAATGGTCCTACATAGCCAGAATGACGCCCCAAATCTGCCTTCCCCATCACATTACATTCAAGGCAAAATTGGACAGTCACATCCATGTCCTTAACACGCTGCTTGAGCTGTTTCCGTTCACTCTGTTGCACGTGGAATACAGGCCAGGGAGAAGCGTGGTGAGAGGTGGGGTGGGAGTGTTAAATTCTGATGTCAGCATTTTTGATGCAATTGAGCTAATCCAAAATGCTTTTGAACCAATGCAGGTGAACCCAAACCACCTAGCACCAAGGAATGACCTATACATCACATGCTAACTGACTGCAGCCCCAGGCACCTGGACAGGCTCTGCTTCAGTAGATTTTAAACTGAAGACATTTATGCTCATATTAATTAAAATTAATCAGGTCACTGACAACAATTGACTGATTTTTTTTTTAAACCCCTTGGTGCCCAGCTGGGTCAGGAGCACCTGAGTTAGTTCTAATGCATTCTGTACTAACTCATCATGTCAGGGAATCCTGACTCCTGGAGTCAAAGAGTTAAGGTACTAAAAGAGCAGAATTTGTTCAGGTTGCTGGGAAGATACCATGGGCACGACAGTAATGTAAGAAAAAGCTTCTGTTTGGCACTAAAGTCCAAATGCTGTAGCCCCTGCAGTCAGTTCTAATGACTTCTACACTTGAAGTAGCTGCGTGTATATTTTTAGGGGGAGGGATAGATGGAGGTTATTTACATTCAGTGTCAAAACCCATTGCCTCCAGAGTTCGGATTACTGACCACAATACAAGGGTGGTGCAGTGGCATATGATTCCCAAGTTACAGCCCACACGAGAACAGGACAGTCTCCTTTTATTAAATGAAGATAGAAAACAGAGAACCACTGAAATCTGCCCTTTAACAAAGGAATCCCTCTGACCCCCCACTCCCTTAAATTCCTCATCTTTCAGGTCAGTGAACCTCTGTCAACATTTATAGAATTTAAGAAACAACTGCTCAGCCTCTGTCTGGACTGGGAATGAGTCACTCAAGGTAAGCAATTACTACAATAATCTATACGCCAGAAACTGAAAAACCAAAAAACCCCACACAAATACCCACCCTCCGCACATAAAGAGTAATTAAAAAGTGAAACGTGTGCAGATCTACGCCTATCTAACCATTATCTTCTTGTATGACATGGAGAAAATATTCACCTGGCTGCTAGCTGATGTGTGGCTGTTTTAACCCAACTTTTCCACTTCTAGCTTTTCTCTCTCCTCTTTTCAAGACTAGCCCTAATAATTTGAAAAAATATTTAAGTACATACCCGCACTCCTGAGGTGAAATGTCCTGTTCCTGACGAGTCCTAAAGATGATAATGCAGTGAAATAATCCAAACAGGGGGAGTCAATCCAAAAGAGAATAGTCCAGCAAGGAAAAATATATCCAATATTATAAGAAATCCATGGCGTGGGGGACATAGAAAATGTTTATACAATTAGAAACTTTAAACATCACTCTCCATAGCAGCAAGTCCAACTTGACCACAGTGTATGCCAAAAAAATTGATTGTGCAATGGTGAGGCATAGTATAGAAACATTTCTATGTTAACTTATGTTCCAATGCCAGTGCGTTTACTAAAAAAATAAATAACAAAAAAAGTTGAAATCAAAATTCTAACTAGAAAGAAAAGGGTAACTGAGCTGCCATCTTAAGCAATTTGCAGTCCTCTCTGTCCTGGATATAAATGTCCATAGACAACGGGGCTGAATTAGTTTGTCTTAGTGTGTGCATCCCTCATGCACAGACTACATATTTTTCCTCTGTAAATCTGTCCCAGAGACACAATGTGAAAATTTTTTAAAAAACCAATTTATAATTTCTGCTGAAGAGAAAATAAGAAGTTTTAATTCGTATTTCTCATTTGGCTGTTTTAAATTTGTGTGAGCTATGAGTGTATCAGGCCGCCGCGGATTATTCTCCATTTTGGATTGACTTCCCCACCAATGGATTTGTTTTGATGATGTTATCTCTTTAGGATTCTTCAGGAACTGGACATGTCTCCTCAGGAGTGAGGGTATGGACTTAATTTTCTCACTTTACTGTGGGCTTTCCCCCCCATATCCTTGCACCCATTACTTAAAGCAAAAACCTGCATCTTTTAGCTATAGTAATTCAACACAGTTCCACCAGAAATTCTGACTAATTCACCCACCAAGAACTACACAAAAGGGTACAACATTAAACATGAAGAGCAAGGGACAGTCACAGTTACAGGTGAAGTGCACAACAATAAGTATGCTAACACTTAAGCACAATGGGGCACATCCTGAAAGCTGGGATGGTGTCAGTGCTCTATTGTGCCTAAGTGCCTAAAGGACGGACGTGACTCACCATTACCTGTGAACTCCCTCACTCTTATGTTCTGGTGAGACAGTTAAACAGTCTGAATGTAGTTTTCAGTGAGGGAATTGATTTTAATAAATAATCCGCGGATTATTTTTTAGTCTGCGGACTAAAATTTAGTGCACGGACTAAAATCCGGCCCATCAGAGTAAAATCTACGTCAGTTTACAATACACCTGGGTGAAGGGGGGAAAAAAGCTAAGTTCACAAAGTGAATATCGTTGGGGAGACTAACATTTAGTATGCAGACTAAATACGGCTGTGCAAAATGCACAGCAAGGCCACAGACAAAAAAAGAAACAAAAAAAAAAAACCAAAACCAACCAAAAAAACCACTGACAGGAACTTTTAAAGTGATCAAATACTACCCCACCTGCGCAGCAATTCATTTTTATAAAATGAAACAATTCCTTTTTTCAAGGTGAGATGTCCACAGTAGGGACAGACTCGTAAATTTCATTTTCAAAAATGAACGTGTTTTGGAGATAAACAAATGCAAAAAATGGTCTTTACAGATTAACATTTTTCAAGCAGAATTTGCACTTGTATGACTCAAACTAAATTTCCCAAAACAATCGTTTTCAGGCCGAGACCTCGCTCGCCAGAATTTCAGCCACTATTGCATTTTTTATGGCTGAGTTACAAACCCGTGAAAATGCTTGTGCAGAATGCACACGTAGAGAGTCATCTGAGCAGCCGTACCGCTTTTTCCTTCCACTCTCCAGTGACTCTATACTATATCAAAAAGCTGGAATACAATGCTACTTCTTCCTTTTTTCAAGTCTGTTGTTGATGTTCAAATGCTAATAAACCTTCATGGCTAAATAGGAAAACCAAGTTTGCTGCCTCTTCCAAATGGCCCCTCCTTCCTAAGATATACTGTGATCAATGTGCATTTTACTAATCACTTTTCAGAGACTGGCAATCATCGTAGACCTTTCAAAAACCATTGCCAAGTTAAATGTCTCTAATACGACTCCCTGTTCCATTCCTCAAAAGGTGAAAGAACTTTTGTGAAGTCTTTGTGCACAAGCAGCATATTCACTTTTAATCTTCTCAATTTAAAGTAGCTGCAGTTGGTTAACAGTGCTCATGACCTGCCTGAATTTTAAAATCTTTCTACAGTGAGAGTGGGAAGAAAGAGCACAGATGGGGCTTAGGACGGACACACATCTTGCTTTACTCAGTCAGCATTCAGCTCTCAAACCAGACCACATGGGGTACTGGCAACGTATTGTTTTAACCAAATGGCTAGTCTGACTTTCAGTCATTGACATTCTTATAACAGACTTTTTTCCATGCACAACATGGAATTCTCTTTTCTCTGTATAATTAAGCACCAAATGCGAGGCTTGACAATGTTACCCCAGCGTGCTCGTCTATCCTCATATGTATTACAAGACATTATTTCATGCCATCAGCGACAATGTATTTTGCATGCAGATTGTGGCAACTGTTAGCATGCTGTGACACCCAAGAAAGCAGAGGCTTATTAAAAATCACTATGGTGCTATTGCATAAGAACGACCATACTGGGTCAGACCAATGGTCTTTCTAGCCCAGTATCCTGTCTTCCGACAGTGGCCAATGCCTGGTGTTTCAGAGGGAATGAACAGAACAGACAATCCTCAAGTGATCCATCCCCTGTCGCCCATTCCTGGCTTCTGGCAAACAGAGTCTAGGGACATTTCAGAGCATGGTTTTGCATCCCTGCCTATCCTGGCTAATAGCCATTGATGGACTCATCTAGTCTTGGCCTTCCCTGCATCCTCTGGCAAAGGTGTATGTTGTGTGAAGAAACACTTCCTTTTGTATGTTTTAAACTTGCTGCCTCTTAATTTAATTTAGTGACCTTAGTTCATGTGTTATGAGAAGGAGTAAACAACACTTCCTTATTTATTTTCTCCACAATAGTCATGATTTTACAGATCTCTATCATATCTCCCTTAGTTGTCTCTTTTCCAGGCTGAAAAGTCCCAGTCTTATTAATCTCTCCTCATATGGAAGCTGTTTCATACCCCTAATCATTTTTGTTGTCCTTTTCTGTACTTTTTCCCAATTTCAATATATCTTTTTTGAGATGGGGCAACCACATCTTCATACAATATTCAAGATGTAGGTGTACCATGGATTTATATAGAGGCAATATGGTACTTTTTGTCTTATTATCTATCCCTTTCCCTATGATCCCAACATTCTGTTAGCTTTTTTGACTGCTGCTGCACATTGAATGGATGTTTTCAGAGAACTATCCACAATGACTTCAAGATCTCTTTCTTGAACGGTAACAGCTAATTTATACCCCATCACTTTATATGCATAGTTGAGATTATGTTTTCCGATGTGCATTACTTTGAATTTATTAACATTGAATTTCATCTGCCACTTTGTTGCTCAGTCACTAAGTTTTGTGAGATCCCTTTGTAACTCTTCACAGTCTGCATGATCTTGAGTAGTTTTATATTATCTACAAATTTTGCCACCTCACTGTTTACCCCATTTTCCAGATCATTAATATGTTGAACAGTACTGGTCCCAGTACAGATCCCTGAGAGACACCACTATTTACCTCTCTCCATTCATTCTTACCCTTTGTTTCCTATCTTTTAACCAGTTATTGATCCATGAGAGGACCTTCCCTCTTATCCCATGACAGCTTGCTTTGCTTAAGAGCCTTTGGTGAGGGACCTTGTCAAAGGCTTTCTGAAATCTAAGTACACTATATCACCTTTGTCCACATGCTTGTTGACCCCCCTCAAAGAATTCTAGTAGATTGGTGAGGCAAAAAACATGTTGACTCTTCCCCAGCAAACTGTGTTCATCTATGTGTCGGATAATTCTGTTCTTTACTATAGTAGTAAAAACAAATTTCAACCAATTTGCCTGGTACTGAAGTTAGGCTTACTGGCCTGTAATTGCCAGGATCACCTCTGGTGCCACATTAGCTATCCTCCAGTCATCTGGTACAGAAGCTGATTTAAACGTTAGGTCAAGTTTGTGACATCACCGTTAAGAATTTATCTCCATCTTCAAGAGTTTATAGGTTTTCCCAAAAACCACCAACACAGATCCAGGCTCATATTTGGTGTACAACTCCACAGAGTCTGTAAGCTAGTTTTTAATAGTCAATGTGGTGGAATTGGGAGGGAAGAGGATAACATTTTATCTAAGTCTCTTTGGAAAGATTTTTATATTAGATCAACAGAGCAAGCTTCTTCCCCACCCACTCCTTCCAAAAGCCTGAATGTTCATTTAGTTGCTAATTTTCTTTTGCTAGATGTAGTAAGTGCAAAAATCCCATTGAAAAAAGTGACATTTTGGCATGCATTTGTTTGGGTTTTTACACTCTGGACTGGTGCTGCGTTTGGTTTAACAAGAAAGGAGAAATGATAAACTTTCAGAGGAAAATTACTTAATGTGTGCAGCAGGTTGTTTTGTTTTGTTTTATAAATGCCATATTTGCAGCTCTGGAGACTGCAGGCTTCTATCCAAAGAACAGGTGCAATATAGTAGCATTGTAAGCTTCTTTGCTTCTCCACTGTATCCCACTATACAATTATCGCTCTTACCCCTAACTTGGAGGAATCATTTTATAGAGGGCAGTTCAGCATCTTTCATCACTGTGTCTGTCAAGACTGTCTATGAGGATATCAATTATGAAGTGTTCAAGAGATCAACTCATTTCACACAGGCCACCAAAGAAGCGGTCAGCTAGTAACAGCTTTCAGTTGCTAGAGTTGGAGGCCAGATTCGAACTGATGCTCTAAAAATGAATGGCTCAGGATTGCATTATCAGTTCCCTGACACATCTACTCCCTATTTGATAAAGTTCTGTGAAGATTAAGGATTCGGAACCACTGATCTCACTAGAAGGAAGGAAATTTATCAAGGTTTCCCACACACTTCTATCAGAATTGGGAGAGACAAGGTGGCTGAGGTAATATCTTTTACTTGATCAA